CCACAGGGAAAGGAATATTTCTCTTTTTATGATACTTAGTAAATAAAAAGGGGGGATTTGGATTGAGTGATTTAATTTAATTAAGAAACTAAGATGAACAACCTATATGTGTTTTATTTCAAAGATAAAAGGACTTGGCATTGCTACTTTCCACTTGTTGATATATTTTAGTCGATCATTGTTATATCTATAACTTATTCCCTCTCGAATACTCAATCCGGGAGTATATCCACTTCATCGAGGGTAGTTATTAACAACGACCGTTCATTAATAACTCTTACTATTAATCAAATATAGAACAACGCCGTATACCGATTTAATAGTAGCATTTAATCTTTCTAACTCCTTGATGAAATCAATTGAGATTGATAACCTCAACACAAGCGGTTTTGGTTTAACCAACAAAATTAATCCTGGCGCCGTTGCCGGGGAGGAAGAAGAAGAGGAGCTTACGGAGGAAGCTCAACCAGAGGAGGACAAACCAAATTTGACGAGCACTTGTCGTGAGTGCGTCAAAATAAATTCAATACTAAACACTTATACGTAGTATAGCGTAGTAGAGTTCGTATCCACAGGGAAAGGAATATTTCTCTTTTTATGATACTTAGTAAATAAAAAGGGGGGATTTGGATTGAGTGATTTAATTTAATTAAGAAACTAAGATGAACAACCTATATGTGTTTTATTTCAAAGATAAAAGGACTTGGCATTGCTACTTTCCACTTGTTGATATATTTTAGTCGATCATTGTTATATCTATAACTTATTCCCTCTCGAATACTCAATCGGGGAGTATATCCACTTCATCGAGGTTAGTTATTAACAACGACCGTTCATTAATAACCCTTACTATTAATCAAATATAGAACAACGCCGTATACCGATTTAATAGTAGCATTTAATCTTTCTAACTCCTTGATGAAATCAATTGAGATTGATAACCTCAACACAAGCGGTTTTGGTTTAACCAACAAAATTAATCCCTCTTAAGTTTATTAATCACGACCGTGCATTAATAAACCGAAGTTACTTACTTGTGAAATCATCAATGATTAATCATCGGTTCGTTGATCGTTTCTAGTAATAATTAATATATGAAACAAAACTAGTTGATCCTTTAAGTAATGTTCAACATATTAATATGAAATAAGAGTAGGGATTAATTAATATTCAAGGAAGAATATTATTAAAGAAGATGAATCCTACTATAATTAATATCAAGATGTTAACTAATTGTCATCTTAGCAACACTCCCCAATATTAATATAGAGGAAGAAAATATCATTCTAACTAATGTCGAGATGTTAACTAATTGTCATCTTAGCAACACTCCTCAACATCAATATAGAGATGGTATTAAGGAAGAAACTATTAATTAATATTCAAGGAAAGAAGTTAAGAAAATAACTCACAACTTTGATAATCAACAAGCTTCAAGAGCAACACCAAGAATGGAAGTTTAGCTCCTCATTTGGAGGCTAAACATAGCTAGAAAAATATAAAGAAAGGCTATTCTAAACTGAGATAAAGAGTATGGAAGAAGGGATGATTTTTTGTGAAGAAAAAGTGTGCTATTTATAAGTGTTTTTCAACACCTTTGGCCGGGTACCCGACCGGATATAGTACTTACCCGACCAGGTATAGTACTTACCCGACCGGGTCCGGTCAAAATCAGATAATCCGCCACGTTCTGGTGATCTTCGCACGTCGTTTTGTCTCGGGTCACATCTGACCCGACCGGGTCAAGTAGGGGACCCGACCGGGTCTAGTGACTTTCTTGGCAATTTCGTCTGTTAAATCACACCCGACCGGGTGGGGGTTTCTACCCGGTCGGGTTTGACTCCTGGGCAGTCAAATTTCTTGTTTTCTTCTCTTCAAAGTCTTCCTTTCCGACACCACAAATCCTAACTATACTTTACAACTTATAAATGAGAATTAAAATACGATTACAACTAAAATCACACAAATGTTTACAAACTAAATAAAACGGTAAACAATACACACAAATCAATCATAAAAATATACATTTATGCACTACTAATTAGTGCATATCAATTTACCGATGGACAACTTTAACTATTAGTGTATTTAATTTTCTATTAGTAAACAAAATAAAAAAGCATATTTTTGAAAACTTAATGAGACAAATTTTACATTTTTTTAAAAAATAATTATTAACATATTAATAAATAAAACATAATCAAAAGTAAAACATATACATATTGTAAAATCAAACAAACTGCACTTATTTAAAAAACAGAGGTAGCATAAAAATTAAGGAAATTGCCCTAATATTCTTATTCTGATCGTGTTTTATTTAAATAAACTACTATTAACAAGTTGAAAGAAAACGTCTATCAGAGCGAGACCGCGATCAGAACAAACATTCAATAGGTGAAGATAAAAATACAATCCAAAAATATACTTCGTACTTGCGAGACTTCAGAATTATATTCAACTGAATTATATTCCCAAGTGATCAAGCCAAAGAGGACTATCTGATCAGAAGAAACAAGAAACATAGAAAGCAGCAAAGGCTTCTAATTATGCGAATTGGGCGAGTTCTAATTTTAATTTATAACTACCTTTTTCATGGCTTTAATTTGAGCTGCAGACCCCAATGCTCTCGGGCAAATCTCAGCAATAATTTGTTCGGATTCTACATATTGCTCGTTTTGAACTAAAAGAACACTTTTGAGAGGAATTTTGATATTATGTTCACTCTCTATAGTTAGATACAAATCTATGGAACATAGAAAAACGGGATGTCCATGACATGTACTAGGGGTGGACTCAACCGGGCTGAACCAGTCCGGGAACCGGCCCAACCTGGTACTGTTCAGGCCCAGACCGGTTGGAGAGTGGCGGTTCCGGACTTTAGCACGGTTTGGGCGGGCCGGGCTCAGGCCCTATATTTCATGAACCGGCTCGAGCAGTCCGGGCCTTGCCTGGTCCTTTTTTTTCAAATTTTTCCTTTTCCTTGGGTAGGGTTGAGTGTTTTGGGGTGGTTTGGGGGTGGGATGAGGGGGTCGAGGATTAATTAGAAAGCCAAAAAAATACATTGAACCGGGCCCGGACCTCATGGGAAAAGGTTCAGAATTAACACTTATTTTGTACTTCACCAAACATGAGTGACCTGAGGAACCAGATTCTCAAATTTTGAAAGCATGATCATATCAAGTTATACACGAAAGAATGAGGGGCCAAAAGGGTGACATTCACCATGAAAAAATGGTGCCAAAATATGGAGCTTCCAGTCTCGACAAACCGCCCGGAATCTGAGTAGTGATATAGTTGGAATGAAAGCCAGGGCATGTTCTCTGATGATATCCTTAAGATTCATGTAAAGAATATTGTTTGCAGAAGAAAGAAGTTTCCCTGGCTTTTTCCCGGACTCCATTCTTGCAACCAAGAGTATCTATCTCTAGAGACCGGGATGCAAAGAAAATGTAAAGGCGACCAAATCACATTCTTCATATATTATTTTTCATTACTAATGGTGTGTAGTTTGATAATCCCCTCATTTGATAATACATTATGCATAGTTTACCTCTAAGGCTCTAACTATGGTATGATTCATCATTCATATTAGATTGAATTGCAAAAATACAATTTTCAAAATATCATTATTCAAATATTCAAAAAAAATATTCAAGTGAATTTAATTTTTATGTTCGCGTATAAAATATGACCAATTCACCGAATGAATGCAAGCACTCAATCGCATTGGATCCCCAGTTCACCAAAAACTCTTACTCTTTTAATGTTTTTGCTTTTATTATTTATTTCAAATGAATTTTTTACTCTTTGTATAAAACTATTTTCCCCTTACCTCCTGCAATTCGTTATATCTCTAGAGAAATTCTTCCAATTAATTATTCAATAAAAACATATTTTGAATCAGTGATCAAAACATAAGTATTTCTTTTATTTTATTGCATCATATATGTACATATTTGACTTTCCCTTATACGGAGTAGTAAATGGATACTACCTATATGTCATAGTGTCATAGGTATAGTAGTATACCATTACCATTTCAAAGCATATTATACATAAATACCTAAAAAAATATGTGCCCGTGCAACACACGAGTACGATACTAGTACTATTAACAACTTGAAAGAAAACGTCTATCAGAGCAAGACTGCGATCAGAACAAACATTCAATAGGTGAAGATAATAATACAATCCAAAAAATATACTCCGTACTTGTGAGACTTCAGAATTATATTCAACTGAATTATATTCCCAAATGATCAAGCCAGAGAGGACTATTTGATCAGAAGAAACAAGAAACCGAGAAAGCAACAAAGGCTTCTAATTCTGCGAATTGGGCAAGTTCTAATTTTAATTTATAAGCTAACTTTTTCATGGCTTTAATTTGAGTTGCAGACCCCAATGCTCTCGAGCAAATCTCAGCAATAATTTGTTCAGATTCTACATATTGCTCGTTTTAAACTAAAAGAACACTTTTGAGAAGAATTTTGATATTATGTTCACTCTCTATAGATAGATACAAATCTATGGAACATAGAAAAGCGGGATGTCCATGACATGTACTAGGGGTGGACTCCACCGGGCTGAACCGGCCCGGCCTGGTACTGTTCAGGCCGGGACCGATTGGAGAGTGCAGTTCAGAACTTTAGCACAGTTTGGGCGGTTTGGGCAGGGCAGGCTCAGGCCCTATATTTCATGAACCAGCCCAGGCGGTCCAGGCCTTATCCGGTCATTTTTTCAATTTTTTTCATTTTCCTTGGGTAAGACTGAGTGTTTTGAGGGGGTTTCGAGGTGGGACGAGGGAGTCAGGGATTAATTAGAAAGCCAAAAAAATACATTAAACCAGGCCCAAACCGGCCCAGATAAGTTTGGCCCAGATCCAGGTATCAACCTGGGCAGCTGAGCCGGTTCTGGGCCGGTTCCGGGCCAAACAGCCTGAAAAAAGCCCAGCTTGAACCAGCCCAGCTTGGGCACGGTCCAGGGTTAACGTGTACGTATCTGATGAACCAAATCCTCAATAGCACCTTTTTGAAGGCCAATAGAAACTCATAGAAAAAAACATGAGGAAAATTAAGGCATGGTTAGGAGAATATAAATCATCCAAAGTTTGCTGAAACTGGAGTCTCAAAATTTAAATTTAAATGCATTCTATAATTTAGAGTACAAAATGTAGGACAAAGACCAAACGAATCAGAACTCAACAGGAAGCAACATAGTCTAATATCATTACTTGGAAACTTTTAAAAGTTAACAGGAAACTACACTTCACAGTCCAGTGAATGCCTTCTTTCCACCACTGGCAGAACCAGCAGGAATCACCTTCAAAACATTGAACCGAACAGTCTTGGATAGTGGTCTGTCATATGAACAACAGTTAGCATGATTGACCAAGTAAAACACATTAGTAGTTTGAGGAAATGGAATAGTTAACAAGGTTTTAACAGCCACCTGCATTGACCAATGGTAACATAGTCACCCTCTTTTACACGGAAGCATGGTGACACATGGGCAGCAATGTTTGAGTGTCTTTTTTCATACCTGAAAATAAAAGAGAAATTAGATTTCACAGATTGTTACACTAATAAAGAACAGTAGATGCTGACATTGTCTTGCCTCTGATACTTCTTCACAAAGTGGAGGTAGTCACGACGAACAATGATTGTTCTGTTCATCTTAGCACTATGGCAAGTACCAGCAAGGATACGACCTCTAATAGAAACATTTCCAGTGAAGGGGCATTTCTTGTCAATGTATGTACCTTACATAAAGAAGTGTAACTTAATTAGAAGCAAACCAGTAACACTCTGAGATAAAGATACAAGTAATCTAGCAAGGGACAATGACTTGACTGCAATGCATGTCCTCACACATGATAATAGGAGGTGTTGAATGAAGCATATAATTAGAGGATAAACAGAGTTGTAACTAGGTCTGATGATCTTTCAGATTGGCAGAGAGAACATGGGTGATTGAAACTGATTCAAAACAATGTAATGGAGATATCCCATTTATCAGAAGATGAGATAAGCAATTTAAAGAACATAGATGTAGCAATCATTTGCAAAGAATGCTCTGAAAATCACCTAACTGGATTCTGATATACGGAGTATTTATTAGCGACAATGTAGACAAGGTAAAATATATGAAGAATTACTTCCAGCCTGCAACTTCAAATTCACTTGAGAGAAATGGAACTAACTAATTGAGGCATCTGTTGATGTCATCAATAATATTACCGATCAAGACAGACAATATGGACTTGCTGTTTATGATGTAAAAAAATAATCAAGTGGAGCCAGCAAGTACTTCATTATTTTTTCAATAATGAAATCTCAGTTCTGCATGTTTCTGAACATTGAAAAAAGACTACTGGAGACTCCTACTTGTTTTATGGCATGTTATCGTTAAAACTTATTATCAAATGCAGGCAGTCACTGGTACAGTTTCTTCGCTCACACACAATCCAGCCAAAAAAACAGAGAGGCATCTCAGCTATATTAAATGCATGAGATTTATAACACCTTTTCACAGACATTACATGAAAAGGAAAGATTGCAAGAACAGATACGCACCCTCAATAGCTTCGCGGGGAGTTTTAAACCCTAAGCCGATGCTCTTCCAGAAACGGTTGCCTCCCTTTCCGGGCCTCTTGCCCTTACCTGTTTTCTTTGAGCTGCAGATATCAATAAAAACTGAGTGTTAAACAAGGACCTTTCATTGGCAGTCAAACAAATGCACCAATTAAAGTACATAACGCTTGAAAATCGTATCACGGTACTCCAAAAAATGCGTTTGAATATACAAATTTACCGTACCTGAGAAAAACACCTGGCTGCTTCAAGAAGGCCTTCTCAGTCTGCCAAACAAAACAAATCAATTACGTGACATAAAACTAGATTTGAGACTGGAAGACTTATTGTTTATATCTAAGCTTGGCTGAAAGAGAACAGAACCTGCTCAGCCATCCTTGCAGATGAAAATGTGGAGGCAGAAGATACGAAGGAGGAAGCAGTGATTCAGCAGCCAAAAACCCTAAACGCAGAAGGGGTAACAGCAAAGCGCTTTATAGCGCTAGCCAGGATCGTTTGGGATCAAAAAGTGTGCTAAGGCCCAACAAAGAAATTGGTACCATGAACGTGAGTCTGGATCAGGCCGGAATCGCAATTCCTAAATTACTAGTAATCCACCCATGATAAATACGACGTATAAATAAATACATTTATTTTATATATATTAAATAAATATATTTATGGTTATGTACATAAATAATAAAGGGAAAGTTCCCGAAATAGGACTAAAACAGTTTGAAAATTCCAAAATAGGACTGTCATGTTTTTTATTCCCTAAATAGGAGTAATTACTGTTAAGTTTAGAAAATATCGTCATGTTTGAAGTCTAATAGTGTCAAAACATGGCAATAATTAGTCCTGTTTTAGGAATAAAAACATGTCTGTCTTGTTTTGGAATTTTCAAAACTTTTTAGTCCTATTTCGGGTAATATTCTCAATAATAAATGCATTTGTAGAAGTTAATAAGAGCTTTTTCCATTTTCGTTCATCCGACTATTGTATCAGTTACACTTTTGTTACTCGACTTTTAATTTTTTTTATTTTTAGTCTTCGATTATTGTGCTAGAAACACTTTTAGTCACCGACTCTAAAGTTTTTCACATTTAGTCCTCTGACTATTATCAAATTGATTTTAGTCCTTCCACTTTGATTTTGACACAATAAGTGGAGGCAGGGTCGGAGCCTTGGGCGGTACAAAGAATATTCTTGAAGAAAATGTATGCAGAATTTTTTACACTAAAAATATTGCATTTTTAAATTTGGTTTGGGCCGGAGTCTAGGTTGCCCCCCGTTCTAGCAACGCCCCTGAGCGGAGGACTAAAAATGACACTATTGTAATGGTTGAAGGACCAAAAATACATTTCTGTGAAAGTCGAAAGACTAAATATGAAAAATTTTAAATACGAGTACCAAAAGTGTCTCTAGTACAATAATCGAGGACTAAAAGTAAAAACAAAAAACAAAGTCGAGTAACAAAAATGTCAATGACATAATAGTCAGATGACCAAGAGTGGCAAAAACTTGAGACTCCAAAATTTTTGGGATTTTTATGAACTTGTCAAAATCTTTTTGACAAAACTCTTTGTTATATCCCTTACCAAATGAACTTGTCACTCATTAAACTTGACAAACATGTCATTCCCAGAAAGCTTGGAAACTCTATTTTTATAGTCCAGGTGTCGGTGCTTGCGCTCCCATAATCCTGGAGTCTGTTGACTACCCTCCAAAGCCTCTAGACAGTCAAATCTGGATATTATCACAGTCAGCCTTCGTCGGTACTGGTACCACAGGATGAATCCAGCAGGACTTCCTTTCAACTGAATCCGTCTTTTGACCCCCACCCCCTCGAGCCTACTCTCGTCTTTCGAATGAGGTTTCTGATTTAGTTGGTGCAGACGCTGAATGACCAGCTGAGAGAAGATAGCCAATTTTAGCCTTGATATGATCAGGGAAAGACCTTATTACCCTAGGAGCCTTGCCTTTCTTACTAGCTTACCTTCTCAGATATTGTACGTTCTTTCTTTCTGGGATTACGCTACTACCCCTTACGATAAGAACTCATGACATAGTATCTCTAAGAGTAGTATAGAGTGAGTTGGTATAAGTCAAAAGTCGTAGCGTACCCAAATCCTAATTTACATTGAATTATCTAAACAGCTGTAAGCCTGTATCGAGCTTTTCGTTGATAAAGAGACTATGATCTTAATTATTAGTCAATGCATAAGTTTGCTTATTTGACTGGTTTAATGTGTACACAAGCTTCTTGGCTTCTCGTATACCTACTCTCATGGAAGAATGGTGTACATCTTGCAATTCGCTCTAACACAAAGGAATGATGAAGTCTGAGGGACTTTATCTTGTATTGATTCTGATGCCTGCCTTCCTTGATTGAGTCCTCAAACTAGCATCAATGGTTTCATATATAAGAAAAGGGCACATCTCATTTTCACTCGATCTTTTCTACGAACGGAAGACGATGCAAAATAAGCGGCTCCATCCACATTGAAGGTCGGCTTGGTCAAAGACGTGACGCTATCATATATAAGGAATCGTCTGGCCAATGTTATACTTACCGATTGCCCTTCATTATGTGTGTGTGTGTGTGCACGCGCGCGTGTGTGTGTAAGATGACCAAACTACAGATTACGTGCTAAGCAGATTAATCATATGTTTCTCATCAATTCTAAGAGGGGTGTTCGAAAAAAGGTATTAAAATGCAAGTTTAACCAGAAAAAATCTTGAGTTTAAACAAATCACCAGACAAACGGCCAAATGCAATAACAGAAGATAATGATAACAATTAGAATAAATTTAAATGAAAAAGAGAAAATATAAGAAAAATTTATCGTAGGATCGCCCGTTAAAACTGACTGGTCTTGAAGAAAGGTAGTCTTTGTATTCCGATAGCTATTCAGACGGATCTGACTAGCTCACTCCAAGGATAACCCTACCACGTTTCAGACTCATAACTACCTTGATTGAAACCTTCGACCGTTGCCAAATTTTCCGATTAATAGAGTTAACTTAAAAAGATATGAACGTAAACTAAGTATTAGTTTTGGGAAGGATAAGAAATACGGATGAAATAAGACAAGTCAAATACTCCGTAATAAACAAAATGTTTGTTTGTATATCGGGTGCAAAAGAGATACACTTTTCTTTCCATGTAAGAAGAAGACTCAAGCATGCAAAGTGGTCTCTACATATACGAGGTACCAATAGAGAAACAACGTATAGATTTTAATAGAAAATCGGAATTTTGATGTTCATCAAATGCATGGAACAGGAATGACTTTAATACTTATCCAAAACATTAACCATCGTTTATGAATGGATATAATAGTAGGACCAGACATCTTATTTCAATTTTGAATTCAAAATTGAATACCTTTGTTGCTACATATGTTTCTTTTTATTATTTAAAATAAAACGTTCCAGATTGAGCCACTTACAATTTTTGTCAAAATGCAAGTGATCGCGCAATACATTTTAAAGGAAAAATTCTCAAAATAGGACTAAAAACATTTGAGAATTTCAAAATTGGACTGTCGTGTTTTTATTCCCTAAATAGGAGTACTTACTGTCAAGTTTGGAAAATACGTACTACAATGTTTAAAGTCTCATACTGTCAAAACATGGCAGTAGTTACTCCTATTTAGGGAATAAAAACATGAAAGTCCTATTGCGGAATAGATATACATGTTCACTCCTATTTGGGGGGCAATTTTCCCATTTTAAATGATACTTGAGCAATGTTCGTTATCACATAAAATAATTTACAACGATAGCTTTTATTTTATAAGCGACAAAAATTCATCGTATTAAAACATCACTTTACCACCTTTACAACTATAGATTATTTTGTTAAATATAATCCAATCATGAAAGTTGTACTTTGATGTATAATAAATCATTTCCAAATCATATTCTATACATTTATTCTTAGGATTCATAAATGAGACGCCTAAAATATAATTTTTTCCATCATATTTCCAACAAGGGAGATTCTTACTTCTTCTTTTGTTTATACCATTCATAAAACACGTAACAAGGCTTAGCAAATGATCAAATCATGCATTAATAAAAAAATTGAACATGAATGAATCATATGCTCATCATTGATTCAGTACAAAAGAATCTAATCCAATGAAGTAATAGATATGTAGTGAAAAGGGACATGAACCAATAATAATTACTCATAAAATAGAAGATGTTAAAGTTTCAAGTGACAAACCCAAACAAAAATGTCATGCTAGCAAAAGGATGATCAAAAGATTCAAGCCCATACATGTTAAAGTTTCAACTTCAATTTGCAAAAATGTCACACTACCAATCACTTTCAAAGAAGGCTTGTATTGACACCCATTAATGGTGTTACCAACTTATGGTGTCATTACTTCTAAGTGAAATGAAAAGCATACTTGGACTTTGACTTCCCATGTGGCCTCCATTACATAAAATAAATGTCTGCTAAGTTATTCGTGTACCATGATCTCGAGTTCTTAAACACGTAACATTGGTGCCATATCATGATCATGTGCCAGAGGTACAATTTATCACGTACTAAAGGTACAAATTATCATGAGTTTATTGTAATTTTTATAAACATACTTCTCTAGAGTGTCAAGTTTAATAAAATTATGTATAAAAGTCACCATAAGGATAAGAATTGTTTTATAATGAGACAGGTTGTATGCAATTTGATTATTGACACGTAGAATGTTGCACAATTGTAATATACTCCCTCCGTCCCGCTAAGATTGTCCCATTTTACCTTTTTGAAAAATCTCACTAAGAACGTCTCATACCAAATTTGGTAAAGTTTGCGTGTCTCTAAATCATTTTTACTTTATTCTTACTTTATCAATTTAATATCAACCACATAAAGCAACTTTTCTTAAGAAGCGTGCCACCTCCTTCCGTCCCAATGTTAGTGGGAGGGAGGTAGTCCTTTAGTATTCACATTTTGATAATATGTATGGGAGAAAGTACGGGCGGCTGACAAGGTGTTCTACAAAGGGTCAATAAAACAAATAGTTTGCGATATAACATATACATATTTTTATAATAAAAACAAATGTGATAGCAAAACGCTAAAACTATTTGCATTACTCACTAAAACGAAAAAGAAGAACAAAGACTTGCATTTCGAATAACAAAAGACGTGTCATCCGAAGATCAGGTACTCACTAAGCGAGTGTTTATGTGTATGTGTGAATGAATAGTAGGATTATGAGAGTTTCTAATCGGGGTATGGGTTCTAAACGGATCAAGACCGCATGTACAATATTGACTCATTTATCATAAAAATAATGGGTTCGGATCCAGATAAATGAAATGAAATATATACTCATACACACTATAAAAAGTGAGGTTGGATCGTGTTCGTTTCTGAACCCGACTCGTCAACAACCCTATGTGAGAAATTTGAATTTTTCCCCTCTTAATTCAGCGGAAGCACTTATGTAGGATTATTTTGACTTTTACTCGATTTACTCGATGCAGACAACATGCCAAAGTAGGTTAGACAACAACAATGCAAGACGATGTAGAATGAGTTAAGAAAGGTAACACCCTAACATTAACAATTTAAGTCTTAGTTAAAAACTTAAAATGACATAAGGAACCTTTTGGAGAAAGAGCACACTCCACAATCATTATGTTGTGCTTTAAAGAATCGGGTTTCTGATTATTTAATAACAGGCAACAATTTTGACTCAGTTAAACAAACACATACTTGTGTAAAAAATAAATATAACACATTATACAGTGAGCAAAAAAGTGAAATTTAAAAAAGGCTACTCACAAGTCACAACATTGACAAATAAAAATTATTATTGCTTAAAAAATTTCAAAGGCTAGCCAGGATAGTCTCTCATGTTGCCCTCCCACTAGAGCTGGTCGTGACAATCAATTTGACTAACAAATTTGAATATTGATGTCTTTGTAATGGTAATTAGACATACTAATTAGTCTTTGATATTGCGGAAACTCGTCATAGTTGGAAGGAGAATATGTCCTTATTCTAAGTTTTGTTAGTTGTACATGATACCATTGTTTGCAATTGCGCCTTATTGCGCGTCTCAAATACTTCCAGGAAAATTACGTAAGATTGCATTGCGTAAGGAGGATGGACTTGGGGTGTACGTTCCAGGGCACAGAGGCGTACATAATTTCACCTGTGCAATGAGGCGTCTAGAGGCGTACGCTGTATTAGGTCGGTTGCCAGTGCTGCATAATGTTTTTTGGGCCCATTCAGCCCAGAGTTTTTTAATTAAAGACTTAACATAAGCCCCCCTTATTCGTAACATATACACGAACTTCATATTTTTTTGGGAAAATGTGCAAATAAGCTCTCGAACTAACTGAAAATGTGCAAATCACCCCTTTTATAGGAGGCTCTGTCCGGACGTCACCATTCGAGGTGGTTCCCGGTGTAATTTTTTGATAAATGTTTTTGAGCATCTTCTTCATTAAGTCTAGTTTACTCATACCTAATTTCAGCTAAAAACTCAATCGGGAAGGCATTTAAATGATTTTCTGAAATATACTGCGCTGTTTAACTGCGCAGTTATCTTCAAACATTTATTTGTCTGCCTTCCTGATTGCATTTTTAGCTTAAAGTTGGTATGAGTAAACTAGACTTAATGAAGAAGATGCTCTAAAAAATGCATCAAAAAATTCCACCGGGAACCGCCCCAAATAGCGACAACCGGACAGAGCCTCTTATAAAAGGGGTGATTTTCATTTTTTCGGTTAGTTCGAGAGCTTATTTGCCCCTTTTCCCTATTTTTTTCATTCTTTCGTTCTTCTTCCTGCTTCTTCTCACCAACTATAACCTCGTCTTCTATGGTACTATCTCCTCTAAAGCTCTTTTTTTTCTCCAACCGTTAATATTTTAAGGGTACAATGCCTCCTCCTATGGTAGAGCCTCCTTTGCTTCTTCTTATGTTAATATTCTTCATTTTTTAATATTTTCTTCATATCAATATTTTATTATTTTGCATCGGTTTTTGTTTATGTATATTAGTATTTTCATTCAGATTTTATATTTAATGTTAAATTCAACTTTAATACTTCCTTCGTTCTTAAATAAATGCAATGGTCAACATTTCACACTCGTCGAGACACAACTTTGACCATTAACATAAATGATTTTGTATTAGTAAAAAAAAAATAGATTATGAAAATTTACAATGAGACAGGTTTAACAATATTTTTTCATAAAATAATATTATTACTTTAATAAATAAAACGTAGTCAAAGTAGAACATGTGAATAGTGTAAAAGTCAAAGTGTTGCATTTATTTAAGAACATAGGTAGTATTAATTTAATATTTAGTGTTATATATAATTTAGTAGTAATAATAATGTTAATACTTTTCAACTTTTAATGTTTTCTGCATATTAATATTTTCTTGTTTTGCATCTGTTAAGTTTATGCATATTAGTATGTTTTTCCTGCAGATTTTTTAGGGTAGTCGTCTATGGTTTTATTTTTCCTATTATTTTACTATGATTAAATTTATTTTTACAATTTTATTTATTATTAATAGTGTTTATAAACACCCCCCCACACACATATATATAAATTTACGCCTTAGGTCTACGCCTCATTGCGCAATGAGGCTTACACAATATGCAATAATAAAAATGTCACGACTATGCAATACACAATTTCAAACCTGATACAATAAAAAATCACTTCTTTAGTTATTTTATTGCTTTATTAAATACTAGCTTTCAAGCCCGTGCGATGCACGGGCAGTATGTAATTTAGCTAATTTGAAATTTAATTTCTATCGGATCACATATAATGTGATTTAAAAGAAAAATAAACTTAGTCTAATATAGAGTCTGTTTGATAATACTACAGTAAATAGAATTAACTTATTTTGCTGAAATTGATTGAATTCTTGTTAAATAGGTGGAATCTTTTGAATCATGAAAACTATATGTGAAATATATTCCATTTGTGAAACAAAGAAAAAAATATATGAAAAAAAGTTAAATTGGTCTTCTACATAAGCATCTCAAGTAAACATAATTGTTATGAACCCAATAATAAAAAAATTCTACATTTCTTAATTGTTAGATTTTACAGTTTACTCATTAATAAGAAAGTTTTTAATTGAATTAAAATTTCGAGTTTGATTTGGTATGAATTAATATGGTCTATTAGATGTCTGTTTTTTATGTGACTTATTGTTATAATTATTAAAGTTTGATCTGATCTGATTTAATCTGGAACTGAAATCAACCCAATTAAAAACATTCTACAGAATCAAAATAAAAGTAGGAATTCATAAACCTATAAAGATTTTCTAATTTGGATTAGGAATCTATTTCAAAAGTGAAGACATGTTTGAATTTTAGGTGTAAAATAAAGAAACAATCAAAAAATTTTACTCCGTACTTGTTTGGCTAAGCTAAACATATTTACTTGTGAAAATATATATACTTGATGTTGGTTAAAATTTTTAATTTCATTTTTAATTATTTACTTATTTGAAGCTTACTAATTTATTAATAGGTGTCAAATTAATAAGTAAACTAATTTGCATATTTGTTTCTATTTAATTCGGTGTAGTAAACTAATATAAATTAGTTTCCATATCAATAAACGTTATTAGAATTTCACTCTGATAACCAAAAATTATTTTACTCATTTGAAGCTTACCAAATTAATTAAGATGAATTTATAAGGATTTTTGTTTCCATATATATATATATATATTGATTTTAGGACACATATATTTAATTTTAATTAGTTAGCCTTCTAGAATTGGTAACATACAAAAATCCATGAGGGTGAGCAAATATGAATAATGAATTGGGAATTTGGGATGATGAGTGTATTTTATGACCTTATTTAAGCGATACATGAACTACACGCATTGAATCTTGCCAAAACAAGCGGTGACATGTGAACTATGCACATACACATATACATACACCTTATTAGTTACTAAAAAGTAAAAACTATGCCGTTAGACATTTTTTGAATTAAAATAGAAAACGTTACGGAAAAAGAAAACAAAAAACAAGTGGAAGGCTGAGATCTAAACATGGTCCAGGATACTAGCCGTAGGATTCATCCTAAGATGTCCGCCCGACCTTTAGCCAAAGGGTTTGAAATCCCTTGTCCGCTCGTTTACATTTGAATTCTCGAACCGTTCCCCTTTTTGCATTTTTTGTTTTCCTCAGACTGTACTCTCTCCATCTCTCGCTCTATATTCCTCGCAATTTCTCTCTCTAGTTCCCCCCCTGTTCAGCATTCGCAGATCTCTCTAATCTCTCCGGTATCGGATTCATATATCTGGATCCGTTTATGACCGTTTGCTGCCTCCGACCGCCGGCTTCTTCGACATCCTTTCAGATTCTGATGATTGCGGCGGTGTTCCATTGGGTGAGTAATTGTTTTTCAAGAAATAAACTGATTGAGGTAAATTTTATGTTTTAGGGTTGGTCTAGACTTCAGTTTTTCCCAGTGGTTCAGCTGATCATTAGCTTCATTTCCCAATCAATTAGTTGCAAATTTTTTCTAGCCGATAGATGGATTCTTTAGTAGACCAACTGATCCGGTTGGTGATTTTTTTCTTTCTGTTTTCTTTTCAAGTTCAGGTTGGTTATATAATGACACTAATAAGATTTAACTTAGAATTCATATCTGCAATGCTCATTTATATGCTAGGTTTCATCTTTACCTTTTGATTTCTTATCTTGAGGTGCTTATATGCTACCAGATCCCTGCCCACGGATTGTAGACATGCGTATAATGCATTGGGGAAGACATTCTAGAGAGAATAGCCAAACTGTGGGTATTGGGGCATGCAGATTTTCCTTTTTATTTAACAACCATGCAAAGTGACAGAGCTAGCTACATACCCACAGATGGAGTTAGCACTAGTTTGCAAAGAGTTCGGCCTCTGCACGGGTAATTTTGTGAAGTCTATGGAAGACTGTTGTGTTGAATTATGTTTCATCATCTGAATTCATGATATTATATTTTTATTAGGGAAAGTTCCCGGACTAAAACAGTTTGAAAATTTCAAAATATGACTGTCATGTTTTTAATTCCCAAAACAGGAGTAATTACTACCAACTTTAGAAAATACTGTCATGTTTGAAGTTTGGTACTGCCAAAACATGACATTAATTAGTCCCATTTTGGGAATAAAAACATGGCAGTCCTATTTTCGAATTTTCAAACCTCTTTAGTCTTATTTCAGGTAATATTCTCTTTTTATTATTATAATTTCTTCATAGGCAGTTCAATCGGCATGAGTTTCAAACAACCTCTATCTGCTAAATAATATTTTTACATGTCAATTGAAACCCATACAGAGACATACAACTTTATTTTGCCACACAGTTTCACCAGTTAGATAATTAGATTTTTAAGCTAAGTAGTGATTTTGTAGTATATATTTCTCCTCAAGGATTTCTTGAACATTCAATGGTAGGCCACATACATCAACCCCTCATAATTGTTCAAGGGATGGGTGTAGGCCTTTTTTAATGCATTGCCCAGATTTTGCCTCTCCTTTTTTATCTCATGTCAAATTTGCATGCAATTGGATACTGACCTGTAGAATGTTGTAACACTGTAATATACTATTAATAGTCGTATTTTGATAATGATATAGGAGAACAACTGGGCCAACAAGGCGTTCAACAAAGGGTCAATGGTCACCAGAAGAGGTACTGTTCCATGACTTCCATCTTCAATATCATTTATAATTGTGTGAAGAAAACATTGAATTCAATGTATGATGAGCTTTGGTTTGTATAATGCTAAACTTGATTAAGTAGACATGTATCGCGTAAGTGGAGTATATTAATTAGTTTCTATGTACAAGGCTAAGGTTGTGATAGGTTTAGTTTATATAAGTTAATAAAACAAGAATATAGCCTATGTGATTAGAACTTTTAGCTAACAGTTATTGGGTGCGTGGCTGTCAGTTAAAAAAACTAATAATGTAAAAATAGAAGGCAGTTTTTCCTCAACAGCAAACATGCTATAATTACATTGAAAATATGATTGCAATATTTCACAGCTATTTTTAGTTTTTACTGCCCTTTTATTTGAAAAGGAAAAGCATGGATCATTGTTGACCATGGCGTACATTTCCAAAACTTGCTCTTCTATGAATGTAGTCGTTTTTCTGTTTGTGTAATACTTTGGTCTTTCTGCTGAGATTTTTCTATGTTAGAATGAGAGAAAAGTGATGTTTGATATGACTCATCCTTGAGATCATTCTGGTCCATTTATGTAATATGAAAACCCTATGTTTAGTTTGTATTTTTTTTCACTAGTTTGAGGCATGTGTCACTTAAATTCAGTTACAGGGTTTGTTCATTTGTTAGTGTGTGACCGCTTATTTTATAGATGCATATTTATTCATCCAGTGTAAATTTGTTCTTGTTACAGGATGAGATTTTGTGCAAGGCTGTTCAACAATTTAATGGGAAAAACTGGAAAAAGATTGGTATGCCGCTTTAGACCATTAAGATTTCACTTGATATCTTAATTTACATCATTATCCTTTTTCATTACTGCTTTTTGAGGGTCTCATCAGAAATACCTCCACCGGTCTAGCCCCAAGGGTAGAGATGTAAGGTCCACTTACATGTCACCTCTCAAGATCCTACTTCCGAGTGGGATTTATTGGGTTTGTTTTGTTGGTCTGTATTATTATCCTTTATCTTTCCCTTTCCTATAGGCCTACTAGACTTCTACTGCCACAATCTACACAAATATGAAACTTCTAGTTTTGAATATTTTTAGTTGTAGCGTATCAGATTTTTTACACTAAAGACACTAAATTTAAGTTTTTCTGCATTCTTTACCAACCTATACGGTACCAAGGACCATATGTGTATCCATGTATTGTCGTTCCTGTAATTCACTTTATTTTTTATCACACGGATTGTAGTAGACCAGAATAAAAGATAATAGCACCTCTTCATTGCCAGTTTTTTGTGTGCCAGTAAATAACACATATGAAAGTTTCTCCCAATATGGCAATATCTATATAATTTATCAGAACTGTTTTGAAGGATAACATAGGGCTGTGTGTCATGGTTAGTTTGTTTCATTTTTTAGGTAGGTCCTTTGAAATGGGCTAGTGACAGTGATTTATGAATTAACACTCTCTCGTAGCCTCTGGGTGAACTTTCTTATATCAGAAGCTCAAGACAATGATAATTTTAATCTTATATCAGCATGCAATTGATCCAGTTTGATTCACAACTAATACCTTGAAGCAAGTTGTTTAAATAGTATCTGCTCCCCTATACTTATATATGCATTCTTAGGATTGTGCTCTTCTGATTCATTTCTGCTCGATGAGCTGATGTGGTTTTAAGCTCTGAGAGACTGCCTGTTTGCTTCGTAGTATTCGTGACACCAGAAACTGAAACGTTGCAATAGATTACCAATTTACTTTTAAATCTTATACGGAAACTTTTATTGCCACAAATATTAACTTATGCATGGTCTGTTTAATGTTTATAATCCCTGTAGCCGAATGCTTCAAGGACAGAACAGATGTACAGTGTTTACACAGGTGGCAGAAAGTTCTCAACCCTGAACTTGTCAAAGGTCCATGGTCTAAAGAGGTTATATTCTATCCCATTTTTGCCAGATGCTGTAATGCATTTAGTATTTTAGCATTTGTGCATCAATATTATGAATATTAGTTGTCTAAAGTCATTGATAAGAAAACAATTTTTTGCATAATCAGGAGGATGAAATAATAATTGAGATGGTTGATAAATATGGTCCAAAGAAATGGTCCACCATTGCACAACATTTACCAGGGCGGATAGGAAAGCAATGCCGTGAAAGGTAAGCTTTAAAGTGTTGAAAATTCTCTAATGTTGCTAACCTACTGATTCCATGTTGCAAAATTCTCATGTAGACTCTACATCTATTTAACTACAAAATCTCAAGGCTGTTCCATTGATGCATCTGTTCTGTTTTAAAACAGAGAACTTTTTGTGTTGGTCTGTAATTGTTCAATAACGGCAGCATAAAGTATTAAATGACTAACAAATTGTTTATATTAAAAAGTAATGGGAAATTCTTAATGGGCTAACCCATTGTCTGCGCTTTTAGTCTCTTCTCTTCAAGCGGGAGAGAATATATATTATGTGATCCAAACTTGACCTTTCCTTGAATTTAACTAGATCTGAATTCACTGCAACTTCATGTAACGATCCCATACCGGTCAAGTATGGGCTTGACCGGTGGCTTATAAGCGCGTCCTAATCAACTAGTCTTTTGGGAGTGAGTTCTACACCTGGACTTATGGCTTTGATATGGGCCTAGTATGGGCTAATTCTGTAACACTTCATTGAGCTTTGTATAGAAAAGACTCCTCGAGTCCTAGCATTGAGCCAAGATTCATGATGTGCATGTGCCATATCAATTTTACAATGAGTATTAGTATAGCAACTATCTCAACAAATTGTTGTCTCAGCGATATTTTTCATGCAAGTGGTAAGAACCTATCTGTTGAAGAATATTTTATTTCCCTATATATCTAGTTTACCATAAATAGATTTATTCTGTCTTTATTACTTAGATTTATTCTATCTTTACTAAATAGGAAATTAATCTCTGGAGATCTCCTAAGTAAGGAAGGTATCTATGATAGTTTTAGTATATATATTCCTGTACATGATTCAAGGAAAAATATACAGAAATCAGAGAAGTATTTCTCACCATCCCACCGTGTTAACCCTAATTTAACATGGTATCAGAGCCGCCGGTTAGCCTCTCCGCTGCCGCTGCCGGTGAAATAGCTTCAAGACTGTCATGTCCAGTGACAAATCTTCTTCTTCTAAATCTCCTACTTCTGAAAATTCTGAAGATAATTCAGAAAACAACTCTGCTGTTTCCAACACTACCACGATGGTAACAAGCAACAATGGAGCGAACTTTGACCAAGGAGCTGGAGGAATATCGGTCCGGAAATTTACCGGAAAGAATTACCTTCAGTGGTCTCAATCTGTACGTATGTTCATCACAGGAAAGCAAAAAGGGGATTATTTGACTGGAGTAGCAGCAAAACCAGAAGATTCCAACTCTGAAGCTTTCACCAAATGGGACAACGACGACAATCAAGTCCGATTCTGGCTAATCTCAACCATGGAGCCAGATATCGAAGACAACTATCTCCTACATCAATCTGCCAAGGACTTATGGAGCGATGTAAAGGAAACCTATTCTACTCAAGACAACTCGTCTGCATTGTTTGCAATTGAGCAAAAATTGTTCAATTTTAAACAAGGAGAGATGAGTGCAACTGAGTATCACAACAAACTCAGCAGGACATGGCTCGAACTGGATCTGTACGAGGCTCCTGTCTGGGAAACCACTAAGGATGCCAAAACTTTCTGCACGTTTGTTGAGAAAAAGCGAACAATTCAGATGCTTTTTGGAGTACGACAAGAACTGGACGTGGCCAAAAGCAGGGTAATGGGGACAAAACCATTCCCTAGCTTAAAGGTTGCCTTTGCAGATGTGCTTCGGGAGGAGGATCGTAGAAGGCTTATGCTTGCTGAAAATACACCAGCTATTGAAGGATCTGCCCTCAAGACAGAGACGCTAGCTACAGCTCTCGTCACACAGGGAAATCGGAACAAGGGCAAAGCTAAGTGGTGTGAACACTGCCGTCTTCCCCACCATACTAAGGCAGAATGTTGGGAGATAATTGGAGGGTCCCCCAGCTGGAAATCGAGAATGGGTCACCATAAGCCTCGTGCGAATGCGACTACCAGTAGGGAAGCAGAGGAGGAACCGCAATTCTCAAAAGGGAAGCTTGATTCTTTACAAAAGACGTTTTCTCAAGTTCTCAAGGCTGAAAAGAAGGAACCCAAGGGATTCGTCTCCAGTTTGTTCGAGCAATCAGGTACCATACCTAGTGCCTTTATCTCACATACTCATCACACAAATGTTTGGATACTTGACTCCGGTGCAACTGATAATATGACTGGGAACTTAAACCTCATCCAGAACATGCAACCTTACCCTCATAAGACAGGGGTTAGGATTGCTGATGGTACCTTAGCACCCATTGCTGGAATTGGTTTGGTTAAGGTCACTCAGAATCTCACCTTGTTTCTTGTCCTTTATGTGCCAAAATTGAACTGCAATTTGTTGTCTATCCGTCAAGTTATTCATGATTTGGGGTGTGAAGTTAAGTTCAATTCTCCTCGCTGTGTGTTACAGGAAGAGGGGACGGGAATGATCCTTGGCAGTGGTGATGTTCGTGATGGCCTATACATTTTGCGAGGAATGGAGCAGGAGTTGGAGGAGTCTAGTTCTAAGTCTAAGAGTGCTCATATTGTAGCTAGCTTAGATAGTCGTACTGATCAAGTAGTTCTATGGCATCATAGACTGGGTCACCCCAGCTTTATGTACCTTGAAAAATTATTTCCAAAATTATTCAATAAAAGAAGTGCCAAGTTATTTGAATGTGACGTTTGTCAACTTGCAAAACACACTCGTACTGTCTACTCTGGATCTAGCTATCAGCCTACTAAGCCATTTGCAATTGTGCACAGTGACATTTGGGGTCCTATGAAGGTTCGAAATATCAATGGTGCCCGATGGTTCATCACGTTCATTGATGACCATACACGGCTCACATGGACTTTCTTGATGAACGAAAAATCTGAAACTACTAGTATATTTCATAATTTCCACCGAATGGTTCAAACTCAGTTCCAAGAAAACATAAAAGTACTAAAAACAGACAATGCTCATGATTACTTTAACCAGAATATGAGCAAGTATTTGACTGAACATGGGATTATTCGTGCTAGCTCCTGCGTGGAGACACCACAACAGAACGAAATTGCAGAGCGAAAAAACCGACATCTACTTGAAGTTGCTCGAGCAGCTATGTTCACTCATCATGTACCTCAACATCTATGGGGTGAGGCAGTCCTCACAGCTACCTATCTAATTAACAGGCTTCTCAGTCGCGTGCTTCAGTTTAAGACACCTCGACAGGTATTACTTAAATCTTTCCCACATATTGCCAGTTTTACCTCAGATCTATCTCCGAAAGTGTTCGGCTGTATTATGTTTATTCACGTTGCGCCTCATAATCGGTCAAAATTGGATCCCCGTTCTATCAAGGGTGTGCTGATTGGCTACTCTGCTGCTCAAAAGGGTTACAAGTGCTATGTACCATCTACACGAAAGGTATATAACACTCTGGATGTGACTTTCTTTGAGTCTCAGTCCTTCTTCAAACCGACTGTGCTTCAGGGGGAGAAATCTGACTACCCGGTTATGTGTGAACCACAACAGTTTGTGGACCTTATTTCAGCTGAATCTGAGGTGCTTACATCAACCATGGAGGCACAGGGGGAGAACCTTGCTCCTGTGTTAGATGAACCCGGGCAGGAACAAGTTGGGGTGCAAGTGGAGAACATTCCTCATGTGTTAGATGAACCTGAGCAAGAACATGATCAAGTGCTGAAACCACTACTGGTGTATCAAAGGAGGAAGAACAAAGATGACAGTAAGAGTGAGAAATGTAGTGAAGAACAAAATTCTACATTACATGATGAAGCTGAAGACCTGGTTCAAACGATGGAGGAAAATCAAGCTCCTAATGACGATCTTGATATTCCTATAGCCCTAAGGAAAGGAATACGTAGCTGCACAAGATATCCGATTGGGAACCAAGTGAGTTATGATCGTCTAAGTGATACTCACAAGGCTCTTACAATGGCGATTGAAAATGTTACTGTACCAAACAACATTCACGAGGCTATGAAATCACCTGAATGGAAGAAAGCAGTGATGGAAGAAATTCACGCATTAGAGAAAAATAGAACATGGGAAATTGTTCGTCTGCCGAATGGAAAGAATATTGTTGACTGTAAATGGCTTTTTACAGTGAAATACAAGGCTGATGGCACTGTTGAACGACTCAAGGCTAGACTGGTTGCAAGAGGGTTCACTCAAACTCAAGGTATTGACTATGAGGAAACCTTCGCACCTGTTGCAAAACTCAAAACGGTACGTGTACTTTTATCTCTTGCTGTGAAGTTAGAATGGCCACTATACCAGCTTGACGTAAAAAAATGCATTCCTGAATGGTGACCTCGAAGAAGAGGTCTACATGAGTCTTCCACCAGGAATTCAGCATCTAAGAAATGGGATGGTGTGCAAGTTAAAGAAAGCTTTGTATGGCTTGAAACAGTCTCCAAGAGTGTGGTTTGGACGGTTTGCTAAGGCTGTCATAGAGGGGGGATATTATCAATGCCAAACTGATAGTACACTCTTCGTAAAGCATTCAAATCAAGGGAAGGTGTCAATCCTCATTGTATATGTGGATGACATCATTATAACTGGAGATGACAGTGAAGAAATACAACTTCTCAAAGATCAGCTTGCCAGAGAGTTTGAAATCAAAGACCTTGGCAGTTTAAAGTATTTTCTCGGAATTAAAATTATCAGATCAAACAAAGGAATAGTCATTTCTCACAGAAAGTACATCTTAGATTTGTTGAATGACACTGACATGATGAACTGCAAACCAGCGGACACATCGATGGAGCAGAACAAAAGGTTAAGTGCAACTGAAGATGTTCCATGGGTAGACAAGGGAAACTATGAACGGTTAGTAGGCCGATTGATATACCTTGCACACACTCGACCTGATATTGCATTTGCTGTTGGAATTGTGAGTCAACACATGCATGATCCGAACGAGGAACACATGGAAATGGTGGTTAGAATCCCTAAGTACTTGAAGAGTACTCCTGGTAAGGGTATATACTTCAAGAAGACTGAAGTCCAGGACATTACTGTGTATACAGATGCCAGCTGGGCTGGAGAGTTGACTGATAGAAGGTCAGCTACAGGATACTGCAGCTATGTTTGGGGAAATCTTGTAACATGGAGGAGCAAGAAACAAGATGTGGTGGCACGAAGTAGAGCTGAAGCCGAATACAGAGCTCTTGCTCTAGGAATCTGTGAGGGAATATGGCTAAGACGGGTTCTAAATGAATTGAAGATTGGATCAGCAGGGCGTGTTCATTTCTTATCAGATAGCCAATCAGCTATCAGCATTGTGAAGAATCATGTCCATCACGATCGAACTAAGCATGTTGAAGTTGATAGACAGTTTATCTCTGACAATGTTGCTAAAGGTATTGCTACAGTCAGTTATGTTCCATCCAAGCACCAGACAACTGATATTCTGACCAAGGCTCTCGGACGTGACACATTTCTGTTTTTATCTAGCAAGCTTGGATTAATTAACATCTACACCAAGCTTGAGGGGGAGTGTTGAAGAATATTTTATTTCCATGTATATCTAGTTTACCATAAATAGATTTATTCTGTCTTTATTACTTAGATTTATTCTATCTTTACTAAATAGGAAGTTAATCTCTGGAGATCTCCTAAGTAAGGAAGGTATCTATGATAGTTTTAGTATATATATTCCTGTACATGATGATTCAAGGAAAAATATACAGAAATCAGAGAAGTATTTCTCACCATCCAACCGTGTTAACCCTAATTTAATGACGGTTTGTAATTCTTCTCATGATTTCTAGTTTAGACTTTAGAAATTAGAAGGCTCCCTACAGAAGAGCCTCCGGTGCAAACCTTTATCCACTTTTTTTTGCACAAGTTTTTAGAAAGGAAGAACTCATTTTAGACAATTATTATAACTATTGATGATGATGATTCAAACTTCGAGATAATATGAGTCTTTTTTTAACTTTTATATGGATTTGAATTACATTTGTTGTGGAGGGTCTTCCATGCAAGTAACAAGTTCCAACACTTAAAATTACAACTTATTCGGTTGGTATTCCGTTGTTAAATAATAGGGCTACTTTTCAATGATATAAACAACTCCTACAGTTTGATATTTTAAGGATAATTTAATGCTTATATGGAGATTGAAGAAACAATACAACTAAAAGTCTAACCTTATGGAAATATGAAATATGCCTTCAACTTCATCTGGACATTTAACCCCCCCCCCCCCCCCTGCCCCCCAAGTAGTTGAATTCTAGCTTGAACCTAACTTATTCAGTCTTTACATCCCCGTTCTTCGGTCATAGATTTGTCACTAGATTGCAAGCAAGATGGTATGGTGGGTTTTTTCATTTTCTCAAATAATAACAGATGAATCAGAACAAAGGATAACTACTTAAATATCTTGTTGAAGATAAAGTTTTCATTAATATAAACATTGAATTGGCTAACTACAATAGTGATTATATAGAACAGTAATGGGTGCCTAATGGACTAACTTAGACTCTTAGAGTTTCTGAATGTAGGTTTACATATTTTACAAGAATTGTCTTTAGTAAACTCATCATTGAGTCACTCTTATTTTGATAGAATGTAACAAGTATGTTATTTCCTTCATCTGCTAATTGTGCTCGAACTCTTATTTATATAAATATTCTCAAGGTGGCACAACCATCTTAATCCTTCAATAAACAAAGAAGCCTGGACACAAGAGGAGGAGTTAGCTCTCATCCGTGCTCATCAAATTTATGGAAACAAGTGGGCGGAGTTGACTAAGTTTTTGCCTGGAAGGTAGTTTACTAATACATAACTTGAGAAGGAGAATGATACTCATTACATGTTGCTTGGCTGTTAATTTTCTTGTGTTTTCATTTATTTCCAGGACAGACAATGCAATTAAAAATCACTGGAACAGCTCGGTGAAGAAAAAATTGGATTCATATTTGGCATCAGGTTTACTTTCACAGTTCCCAGCTTTCCCTAACGTCAATAATGCCAACCAGATGATGTTGTGCACCACTTCAATGAAGCAACCACAAAGCAGTGAAGACAGAAGTGGTTGTAGAGAGGGAAAAGAAGTGGATGAAGTTTCTGAGTGCTGCAGTCAAGGCTCAACTTTGGCTGGTGGTTCTCAATCTACTACTGAAATGGGAAGCTCGGTTGTACATGCAACAAATGAGGAGAGGGAGGTGAAGGTGGATACAAGTCATGAGAAGGATAAAAAAACACTTAATGCTTTTCAAGAAGTTGCTTCTTCTTCTCAATTCATCGACCAAACTGTTGGGAATGAGATTGGAGCTTCTGTGTCAAAAGATTGCCGACTTAAACCAGACAGTATACCCGATATATCTGAGCTGGATTTGATCCAGGTTCAATCAGGATTCTATATGCAGTTTTTAACTAGTTGTGAAGACCATGGAGTTCCCATGTCACAAAATGCTATCGATTTGGGTAACGTCAATCACGTAGAATGTTCTGATATTCAAGATGGCATGTTTAACATGGAGAGTGGCCTTTGTGGGATTATACACACCGGAGGAACAGAAAATCACCAGTGTTGTTTTCCGAACTCTGGCAATGGTACTATTAGCGGTGTTGAGGAATCTTTTCAAGTTCCTGTTATGTTTGGTGTTGATTCGCACCAATTAATCAATTCATCTGTTGAAGATGTAAGGCAAGATGCAGTTACATGCGACAATTCTGTAAACATGAGTGTTGGCGGTAATGGAACAGACAGTCATGGCCCGAACAACCAATTAGATCAGTACACTCAGGAAAACGATCCTCAAACGATCCTCAGAGAAAACGTTCATGTGAATGATTTTGGTCAAACTATATTTCCCGTCAATGAACAACAACACATTGTGAAAGAAGAGAAAAGGGATCCTGGAAGTTTGTGTTACGAGCCGCCTAGATTTCCTAGCTTGGATGTTCCATTCTTCAGCTGTGATCTTATCCAGTCCGGCACTGATATGCAACAAGAGTATAGTCCCCTTGGTATACGCCAGCTGATGATGTCATCCACAAACTGCCTAACCCCTTTTAAATTGTGGGACTCACCAACAAGAGACACTAGCCCAGATGCTGTCCTGAAAAGTGCTGCCAAAACTTTTAGTTGCACGCCTTCCATATTGAAGAAGAGGCATCGTGATTTGGTCTCACCAATGTCAGAAAAGAGAAGTGAAAAGAAGCATGATAGTGATCATCTGAGTCGTGATTTCTCTGATCTGGCCAGGAACTTTTCTCGGTTGGAAGTCATGGTTGATGCTAGGGATGTTAAGAATGAAACTGCATCGTCTCCATTGAAAACCCAAAAACTTATATCAGAAGATTCCATTGAGGACAAAGAAAACATGGACCCAGCATCTGAAGGAACCACTGATAGAGATTTGGAGATAGGGAGTATTAAAGTTGATGTAGATGATGATGCTACTATACATGTAAGTTTCTTTTCTGTCGCTATCCTTTCAACTGGTTGAGTCTTTTCTCTTGTGTCATGGAGGTATATTTTTTGAATTCACCTCCTTGCAAACATAATGGAGAAGTGACCTAGATAATTCTCAAAGAATGAAAGTGATTGTTGAAGGACATAGATACACAATTGATAAAAATACTCTCCGTTCCAAAAGTAGGTCACAATTTCTTTTTGCATGCATGTTATTATACCTTTTTGCAGCTTTATAAAACGTTTTGCAAGTAATTCTAAATGTCAAACACATAATTGTAGAATGTTAATGGAGTTCGGAAATGGGCAAATGACATAATTGTGGGACAAACCAGGAAGGAAGTGGGGCTTTAAAATGGGGGGGGGGGGGGGGTCTTTCATAGGCTCTAGAGGGAAGCATGCTTTTGGATAAATGGTTGTGAACTTTGTCATGTGGTATTTTTTACTTCGTATTATATTAATTTTTTCAGACGACTGAAGTGAACTGCACTCATTGAGATATCTTGGTATGCATTTATATTATTGACACTCAACTATTTATCAGGTACAACAAACCTCAGGGGTTCTAGTTGAACGTGAAAAAGATGACCATCTATTTCTTTCTCCTGATCAATTCCGATCTAAGAGCGATAGAGTCATAACAACCAAAGGTCTTGGAACCCCACTATTGGATAGATTGGAAACATTGTCATCCAACAAAGGCTCTCTTTTCTCTTCATCTGAGTCTCCTTCATGTTTCTCTCTTGTTTGCTCGCCTCGCTTTTATACTAAAAGGGATGGAAGTAACTTGGCTGTAGCAACCTCTGTGCAGTCAGCATCACAGGTTGTAGGTGAATATTCCGGAAACGGAGCTGGTCTTGACAACAACTACATAAACATGTAAGATGAACGATGCATACCATTCTTTATTTCTAAACTATTACTCCTTGACATATAAGCCCCCAAAAGAACTTCCTACTTGCTTTTGGAACACACTATTTAGAATATGAAGTTCTGTGGCTGAAGTTTATTTAGAAAGTAATGAAATAATATTAATCATGGAATCTTTTCCATAAAATGTAATGATAAGATAATTTCTCTATGCATGAAAAAAGAAATTGAAAAATTCTTTTTGAGACAAATGGAGCTTACTAAACCTTGCTCTTACTTGGGGATTACTTAGTGGTAAGCGGATCTAAAACCTAGGCGCCCAAGGAGAGCCTACTGCACCTGGGGGGTTACGAGAATGCTTTAAGTAGTAGTGTTTTGAGTAAAGTTCACCTGTTTACTTTTAATCAACTCAATCGAGGTACACACTTACAAGTCATGATTGATCACTTACACCCATACTTAGATCCAAAACATAGTATTGTACAAATTACAAAATGAGTCAGACTTAAACTCGGCATGGTTCAGCTCAAGCTCAGCTCATTTGTTTGAGAAACTGACTCGAGCTCAGATCGGCTTGATAAGTTGACTTGGATTCACAATTTAGAAGGTATACTTGTCATTTAAGACACACAAAATCACACAATATCTTTGTGCCTCATGGCATTGATTCAACTCGATTAGGCTTGAGCTTGGTTCAAACAAGCCAAACTTGAGCTTGGCTCAGAGCCAGAAGTCGTAATGAACTGAGCTTGAGCCAGACTCAAATAGGTTGAGTCTCGGGCTCGACTCAAATAACAACACCATTTTCAAGATCAATTGGGGTAATTGACTAGACCACTTGATGTTTAGCTTTATAAGAAATTTTGTTTAAATTAATCGGACAATAGGGAATCAGGAAGATGACTTCTTTTGGGGCATGATATTTTTCTTATGCTCATGATATTTTTGTTCATAGGTATGGGGATACTCCTTTTAGAAGAAGCATGGAATCTCCATCCGCATGGAAATCTCCGTGGTTTATCAATTCCTTTTTGTCCAGTCCCAGGGTCGACACAGAAATAACATTGGAGGTTTGTTGGTTGACATCATGCAAATAGTATGTCAAATGCTATGCCTTCTGCCTGTCATAATAAACATTCGTAATCTTTTAGGCTGCATTATTTTCAGGATTTTGGTTTCCTTTTTAGCCCGGGCGAGAGAAGTTATGATGCTATTGGGTTGATGAAGCAATTGAGTGAGCAAACTGCAGGTACATTTGCGGATGCCCAAGAGATACTGGGAGATGAAACTCCTGAAAGTATACTCCGTGGAAGGTGTTCCAAGAACACTGATGGAAGTTCTTCCCTCTTAGCGTCTAGTCCTTTGGTATGTCTGGCTCTTCTCTTTCCATAGTTGCACTCTGTGTAGGCACGAATACTTCGACATTATATCAGTAATGTTTACTCTTGTATACCTGTATCCTCCACTCCAAAACGTATATGAAAACTGGAATGGTTTTTGGACACATTTTGAATTTAGAAAAATCCTGACATGTTGTATCCTGGCCAGAAGCATATCAAAGTGAAAAAAATGTGAAAAAAACCCCTTTGCATATTTTAAATTCGTACATAAAACATATACTTCAAGAACAATTGAAGCAATGATCAATAAATTAGATGTTCCATAACTAATTAATATTTAGTTATAATTACAACATAATATACTGGTTTATGTGTACGTGTAAGAAACCTATTTTTGAGGAGTACTCTTTTTAAATTTACAAATACACATCTTCCTCGATTTCCATTTCCTCTTTTTTCCTGCGTATATGTATCCAATTATCCATGCTACCTCTGTTGAACTGGATCAAGCAAGTTAGCTATATACTGAGAAATGATATTTTCACTATCTTTCTCTCAATTCCATTTCTTCATCATCACAAATGACGCTTTTCATTTGTGACGCTTTTCATTTGTGACGCTTGTCATTGCTTCAACATATGTGATCATATCTACTACGATAGTATTTTTCAGCTGCATCATTATTTCTCTTTGATATTGATGCAGACGGAGAGACGAACGCTGGATTTCAGCGAATGCGGGACCCCCGGTAAAAAAGCGGAAAATGGGAAGTTATCAGGTGGTAGCGGCAGCAGCGCTATTTCATCAAGCCCGTCATCCTACTTGTTGAGAGAATGCAGGTAGCCTAGCCATCGCCTCTCTGCTGTATCTATCATATATACACTGTAGCACAAAGAGATGTATTATATACATGTGAGTATATTTAGCCTATTGAATCTTCATTGCTCATGACTGGCTAATGATACTGCAAGCATCGTTTTGGTGTCTTTATTTAATTCATTATTATTTGAAGACCTTTTTGCTACCTCAAAAAAATGAAGAATATTGCAGTCACATTTGCTTTTGTACAGTTTAAAGTTTTTTATTACTTTAGGTGGATTCCGATTTGAGTAAGAAAGCCAGAAATGGTTTATAAGAGCATCTCCAATTCCCTTAGGGTCCATTTAGTGACCAACGTGAATCCGCTTTTGTCTCGTGATTTGTTCTATGGATGATCTCTAATGCCAGTATTTTAATCAATCTTAAGTCATTGTTGTTGAGTCCTGTGTGATTCTCTCATTCTTCTTTTCCTGCTTCTTTTTCCCATTCAATTCATATTATGGTAAATTATCATCTTTTTCTCTCATATGTTACCCTGCACAGTCCCGCAAACCCCAATGAACTTGAGATGGTTTCAAGGAATTTGAAATAATTCCTTTCATCTTGTCTTAGATTAGCAATTTTACCAAGTTATGCTGTCTTTCTGAAAGATAACATTCAGTTTTAAGTGTTTCACATTATCTTTAAACATGTGATGGTGAAACTTTTAGTTCTTGGGAACATTGGTTTCAATAAAAGTTGTATACTTATCTTGATTTTATCTCCTTGAAAAAATTAAATCTGTAAATGTGATAGCGTAGTAATTGGTCTACTTTTTCTGACATGTACTAAATAGAGTGGACTACACAAGATATCAGCCCAGTCTATCGTTACCCAGAGAAAACAAGAAAAAACAAGGTTCTGGCATGTGTTCTTTTTCGTTTCTTTTTCGCTTTTGCGTATATCAAAATATCATAAACACACGTTTCAAAAAAGTAAAATTCAAATTCTTCAAATGTTATGACTTATGAGAGCTTATTTCTGAAATATTAGTAAAATTAAATACATTGACAAAAATTTGACTAAAGTTAGTAGAAGTTGTAACGTCAGTCACCGCAATGTCAAATTAAATACAATCATACACACACGCATGTGTGTGTGTGTAGTCACTGCATATAAGTATGATCAATCGACTACTATGAAGTACTCCTTAATTATGAATTATTCAACTTTTGAAAAGAGTAAAGAAAGAGGGAAATTTACCACATTTTGTCATTTCCCATATAGAGTACATGGTAATATTCAATGGAGGGACATGGGAAATATTAAACACAAAATTTTAGCTTAGCAGCCTTACATTGGAAAATAAACTTGCAACTACATAATACAACTCTAAATAAATCACGCATGACACATTCAATTACATAAGTTAGTGGCCACTGAAAGCTCTACGCTTTCCCAACTTCGTCTCTTAAGGGGCCTCTCAAAATGCAGTTACAAGGAGTACTGACATGTAGTAAAACATCATATGACTAATGACTTAGTTTTATATGTTGAAGATGCAACTACAAAACTCTGCAAAAACATGATATGGTATTATGTATGGCAGTTAGAGGGGCATGACCAGGGCAATAAATTTGATCGGTCTGGTACAAAGATTTTTTTACGATTTTTTATACAGAGATTTATCCTAATAATACAAAAAAAACATTAAATGTGGTCTGTGGAGGCCTCTTAGCTACGCCCCTATGTGGGAGTTAGAGGGGCATGAGCAGGGCAATAAATTGGATCGGGCTGGTACAAAGATTTTTTTATGAATTTTTATACACGGATTTATCCTAAGAGAAAAGGGTGAAATAAGACTTTCTACTATTATGAAACAGTCACATAAGGTCATGTACTCAATAAAGTGTCATATAAGTACCTCTACTTGTATAAAACAATCAAATGAGTCCTAAAGACGTATTTAACACCTCATAATCCCGATTTTAGCCTACATGTCGATTTTTTTGACTTGTTTTTCAGCCAATCTTAGTTAAATATTCGACATATGCCGTACAATGTATTTTAAAAGATGGTCCGAAGTACGTTGAAACTGAGATTAAGAGGTGTAAAATAGGTCATTATGACTCATTTGATTGCTTTTTACAAGTAGAGATACTTATATGACACTTTATTGAGTACATGGTCTTATGTGAGTAATGTGACTATTTCATAATAGTAGAACTTATTTGACCCATTTCTCTTATCCTAATAATACAAAAAAAAACATTAAATGTGGTATGTGGAGGCCCCTTAGCTACGCCCCTAGCCCCCTATGTGGCGCACATTGTAACTTACTGTGCTGAAGTTCTAGGTTAAGCGAGCCATGACTACTAGACAATAATGTAGTCCAAACTGCAGTGGACCATGTAAATGGAACTTCGTCATTTTGTAATTTCTTTGATTATCATCATAGGGCAATTAATCCAATTATCATCATTAGTAGAGACGGTCAGGTATATCATTTCACCTCTTACATGTAGGTAAGAAAATAACTACACATAGTTATTCTACATTAGTTATTTATAACCCCACAATTATCCACATCAGTTAAGCCCTTGATGACATAACATAACATGCATTCACATCTTCGACAGCTAGAACTAAAGTGGAATACAGACTGGATGATATATAAACATGAGGGAGTATATTATATGGAAACCATTTCCATTTAAACAAAGGGTGACATCCCATTCCTCAGGGGTCCAACGTCGATCGGACAATTGACAAGATATAAATTGGACTTTAATCTCAAGTTGTCAGATAGTGACTGCATAAAGTGCCTGACTAGGGCTCTGGCTTAGATACTTGTAGAGAGCATCTGCATTTTTACATAGTAATCTCTCATTGCATTTGCCAGAATTCGAAAATGAGACTTACCTCTTGTGACACCCCCGACAAACGAGGAACTTCAAGCCTTCAAATAAGTTAGGAAGCAATATTTTGAAGTGTGCTCCGACATAGTTGTTTGTTCCTGCCATGGACGCTTATCTCCATATTTCCACCTCCCTCAAAACTAGGGTGTTTCACCAACTTTCACATCATAATACGGTGTAATAATAAGCTTTTAGTTTTTCAATTTCAATGGATGTATTTGAGTATTTCATTCCAACCGTCCGAATCTTCCCAGCCTCGGTTTAAATGAGACAAAATGCTTTTCATATACTATCTCAAACAGTTGTTACTAATCAAGTTGAGACCGGTGTAACCTAATCCTGAACTGTCCCTAACAACCCCAAGAAGAGAGAGAGAGAGATAAGCCAAAGATAATGAGTAGATTAAGAAGGTGAAGTTGTAGATGATACAATTTAAAGTTAATAAGCAAGTCTTACTAAAACGGAATCTCGGACACTATGAAGTCTGAATAGGAATATTTAACATAGAACGTTATTAAACATTAAAAAAATCAAAGCAATTTACATTTAACAAATTTAGTGATTAGTATAGAAAATACTCTATTATATTATTCCTGAAAGTGGTAAATAAAAATGTGACTTAATGACTATAATTGATTTTTTATAATATTAATCGGAACTCGGAAGTATTTTTATGTTCAACTTACAATTAGCTTTTAAACTTAAGAAATAAGAGATCTGCTAGTATAGTAGTATATACTCCCTCCGTTTCTGAAATATTTTTACACTTTCCATTTGTAGCAGTACCAGAAAGATCTTTACACTCCCTTATTTGCTTTATTTGGCAAATAAATCTACACAAAACAGTGCCAAATAGTGTACTCTACAATAAAGTCAAATTTATTTCCTTAAAAACTGTGAAGTCAAATTTATTTCCTCTTCCGGGTTTATTTCCTCACATCTCCCCCATCACATTTCAGCTTTTAAATAGACCATATCCTTTCAGTTGCTCCAGGGTTAAAACTCATGGGACCGGAGTCACCAAGACTGGTACCAACTACCAAACTGGACAGTTCCATAGATATTTTGAGCTGCCCAGTTACTTACGGTTCTGACTCAGAATCACCAGTTCCACTACCAAAAACCAGCATTTTGAGGTCCGAACTCCGAACTAGTCCCAAGACCGTGTCTCCCCTACTCCCAATTGCCAAGAACAAGACAATAATAGAACAAAACTTCCAAAAGAATCTGAAATCATATTCTAGTAAGCAACAAAGGCTGATATCGGCAAGTACAAAATCCAGTTTTTTCATTTTAAAAAAGAAATAATACAACTAGACAATATGGAGTGATTTGGGACCTACAGGAGGAGGAACCACACTTGGTTCACTCCCAAATAAGAGATCGAAAACACCCAAAAGCTTAGACGAGCAGTATGTTACTCCAACTTTATCCGATCAATGTCCGTCATCATGCTTTCAAGCTGTGCACAGCAAGCCCATTTCAGTCAGAATTTGTGAAGAAATCAAGGGCAAAGGAATGAAAAGTGATATAAACAATTATTAGACACTATAATATAGAAGCTATACCTTAACTATCTGACGCAAAAAGTAATCTCCATATCGCTTTGATGGTTTTGATTCTACAACATGAATCATTTCCTAGAACAAAAAATGAAATAAACTTGAGAAATTGTTTAGTTAGGAAGTTTTCTAGGTCAGAGGAATGATTGTAGTTTATTTTAGTGATTTTTAGTCATTTCCAAAGAGTCTTTTCCCAGAGAGTATTATTTGATTGTAAGATGATCTTTGGACTGTTTTTCCAAAGAAGGTACTTTTGCTTAATGGCTAACTATAAAAGTCACATGTTGGGGATTCTAGGGAAATATTTTGCACTTCATTTACCAGAAACTTATATTTAATTAATAAAATATTTAATCGTCTATATTTTAATCCTTTTATTTTGATCAATATGAATTGAATTAATACTTTAATATTAAAGAAATATTTAATAGCTGAAAAGATACTTTTGTGAACTTTTAACTTTTAGTGACGGAAAAGATCTCAAAAACGTTATAGCTATTTAGCTATTTGATAAAAAGTTGAATGTTTGATTTACTTTGGTTTGGTATAACAACCTGTTAAAACTACCTAAAAATGATCTTTTATTTTTAAAAAAGTGGTTAAAAATCTTATAGAAACTTTTTATATAGTACACTATTTAGTGTGTACCAAACCTGCAAATCTGCAATAAACAGGTGTATTTAGAAACATATGCACACAACACACATACACATGGGGGGTGGGTATTACAACAAATATAAGTACCAGCAATGACAAGCTTACCAAATTTATATGCCCAAACAGAATCTTTTAGGGAGTGGATGAGATGTAAGCATAAGCAATATGTTTCCATTTGGGGGATATAGACTCATGCGCACATGCACCCCCACCCACATATATTACAATAAATATAAGTATCAGCAATGACAACCTTACCTAATTTATATGCCCAAACAGAAATCTTTTTGGGAGTAGATGAGATGTAAGCGTAAGCAATATGTTTCCATTTGGGGGGTATAGACTCATGTATGGTGTAGTATACTTACGTCCTCGATGAAGAAATCTATATCAGCATTGGAAAATGTCTTTCCTTCGGAATCAACAGAGTGTGTCTTGTGTTTGTATGTCAACAGAACCGACCTACCCCAGAAAAAGATCAGAAACTTTATATAAATCAAAAAATTGGATGATTCAACTATACGCTGCACTTCTATGATGTTTCTAACCTCAAAGTAGCATTATCAACTTGCATGTAATTTGCAAGTTTTCCTAGAGAAATAGTTGAATATACTTTCAGGTAGGTCCTAACACCTGACAATAACTGCTGCTGCTTCACTTCATACAGAAATAACTTCAATTGCATCCTATAAGCATCCTGGATCACGATGGCCGTGTAGAATATTCGTTACATGCAGAAAGACATTAGTTCCCCTCTTATTACATAAAATAGGTCTCTGCTAACATGACTATTTTGGTGAAATTATATACAAATTCTAAAATGTTACAGAAAGAAAATCAGTCAGAAGATAGATAGGAAAATATTTTAATAAAATTGGATTTCTTTTATGTATTCAAAAGTAAAACCAAACGTCAAAACTTTTTTGCTTGTGCCTTTCTTCTTTCCCTACCATTTCTGCATTCTAGGCATTGCCTAATAAAATATATCCTTTGAGGAAATTATAATGTGTTACTCCCTGCGTCCCTTACAACTTTGTCACTTTCCCTTTTAAGTTATTCATCTGTGCTTTCAGTTATTTTTCTCTCCTCTATGCAAACCTCAACCACACATTTTTTACTTTATTATTCCACGTGCCAGTCAAAATTGGCAAACTTTAATGGGACAGAGGGAGTAACTAATATGCCAGAATACCTGGTTGTAATTTACAAGGGGCTCTTCATAACTTGGGGCGGAAGGAGTAATGAACTTAGGGCATGCATATGAGAAGAGTTCATCATAGAGAGTAAATGCCTCATCATCATATCTTTGCATTTTCATCATCTTGTCACCATATTTCTCCCTTAATTGAGAGTTCACAGTCTCCTCCACAAGTTTCACTTGAGGGCAAAGACACAAACTGATAGCAAGCAATGCATACATCTGTTCATTCTTCTTTAATATCTGCTCATACTGAGAAGATTTCTGGTGATGCTGCTTAGTTTTGTATATATATAAAAGGATCTTGTTAAACTTTTGAACTGCGTCTACATACCTGCAGGAAAAAAGAAAAGTGTCAATTGTCAAATGTTGTGGAATTATACATAAATCTCTTTAAAGACTAGAACACCGAGTTTTAAACACACATTTTGGATCAAATAAAAAGCACATTGCTGAAAATAAGAATAGATATATTTTTGCACTACAAAGGCTCGGAAAGGCAGATTTAAGCCTTGAAGCATTTTGTTTATAAGAGGTCAGGTGTATCATATATGACTCAAAGTCTACAGCGCTTTAATATTCAAAACTACAAGTTCGTGACACCGAACAAACAAGGAAATAAAAAAGTCATAACTTTAATTTAAAACCTAATAAGACAATTAGCTTAAAAACAAAGTTTGGACTTTGGGCAGCCAAACATCCAGCAGTCCAACAAACATCCACAAGACTTCATCTTCAAAACATTAAAGGCGATTTATATTTAAATATAGAATTGAGGCATAGACCACATCATAGTGCCATACAATGCAAGGACTCAAAAACCAAAAATAGTACAAGAAAAATGTGGTGGCAGAACTGTAATTAAGTGTAAGTTCTGCTGTCCACCACCACGTTCAATTGGAAATGTGCACATCCTAATACTTAAAGCTTTAACAGTGAAATAGCAGTGCTATTATAGCACTGCATTAAAAAGTGCACCGATTCCTGAGAGTGTGTGTTCTTCATAGGAGAAACGTTTGTTGAACTCTTGAAGTGGTCCCTATAAATTTGTATATTGTATTAATGTTTATGTGTATCAGTTTATGCATGAGTGAGTATATTCACGTCAAAATGTTTACGTGTCTGTATAATAATCACTGAAATAATAGAGCTGCATACCTCCTCAACATAAGATTTGCAAATCCATAATGGTATATTGTAGCAATGTGGCTTCCAATGACATTGGTGTATACACCTTCTTGAGTTATGTCAATAGGCCGTAAGCACTTGAGGCCAGTATGATAATCACCCAACAAGCAATGAACTCTAAGCAACCCAATCATACTGAAATACCCCAAAACCTTCAAGACGTTACTTCCACCATTGTAATCATATCCATCTGTAGACGTAAATTCTTCAAGGCCTTCCTTTTCCCTTTCCAATATTTGGATAATCGTTGATTTCTCGACAAGTGCTTGCAGATAGTTTAGAACACCATACACATTCCAAGCCTTGCAAAATTTCAGGAACAAAAAATAACACCCGTCAACTTGCAGTCTAGGAGTTAAAAGTTGAAGTTACAAACTACAGCATCTGGACAACAAGTATGTGTCTTAAGGAAACATTTACAAGTTTATTAAAACATGCTATTTTATTCATATTTTTTTAGCTGCACCCCAATCCCTAGGAAGGTACTAAATGTAACATTCCCAGCAATGAGGATAAAAAGTACAATTACACATTTAATAATCCTGAACTACTATGTGTCCTAATATTCGTATGCAGTGATAGAACAGAGCCAAATACATCTTTAATACTGAGGACTCCCTTTGTTCATAATTAAGTGTCACTTTAGGTGTTCGCACGCATACTAAGGTCTAAAAGGGTAAAAAGTTTTCCAAAATCAAGGTTAAAAAAGTATCAAATGTAAAATAGTACGAAGGTAAATAAATTGTATCAAATGCAAGGTTTTCTCAAACAAAGATATACGAGTAATAATTTGCATTTATGGATATAGAAAGGTCATGATGGAAAATATCACCTAGAGCTCTCTCATCTTGAAAACAGTTACTCCCTCCGTCCCCCTAACTTTGTCCCGTTTTACCTTTTTCGTCCGTCTCATTATGTTTGTCTCGTACCATGTTTGATAATATTTGGGTGGTTACAATTCATTCTTACTTTATTCACACTATCAATTCAATACCAACCACACAATTCCACTTTTTCTTAAAAGTTGTGCCACACCTCTTTGTCCCAAACATAGTGGGACGGAGGTAGTATTAGATAGCAACCCCCTCGCTAAACTCTTAAGTGACAATTAAAAATAGAACGGATTGAGTACAAGATTATGCTTGACAGCTGGTCGAGTAACCATGTTAGTTGTCTACTCTTCCAGCACAATTATATGACCGATTGAACCCTCTACTAATCATAAGACAGCAGAAGATGAAAACAGATGGATAAAACACATTTTAATTAATGTTACTCATCAGTCCAGGACATTACAGAGTTTGTCAACAACAACAATACCTGATCATACTGCTTTAACAAGGCAATTTCCTGTTCAGTTTTGTTCTTCATCTTGGCACGATATTGGCAGAATGACTGAAATTGGTAAACAAATTCGTCTATCATATCCCACAACCACTGGTTTGGCAATTGCATGTTTACAACCCCATGTAGCACAACCTACAGCCAATTAGAATAGATGAATAGTTCAGATCAGTTTATCTCTTCAAGACCATACAAAAACTTATAAACAGAGTACAAAATATGAAGAGGAAATTAAAGATCTGCAATTAGTGCCAAACTGCAGCACTTTCATTTACCCACAATTTCATGAAGGGACAATTATTAGAGAACTGAAGTCCATGGAAGTAAAAATGATCAAACCATGGTCACATGATTACCTTATGATGTGTGGACACAACTAACCATGACTTTTTTACAAGTCATCTCTATATCAGAAATGACACACCTAAATACAAGTGCCAAAAATGTTTGAGGGATATGTCAAAATTTCAATAAACCTATAGTTAGGATGTTTTTACTTGGACTGTAATTCCTCCCAGACCAGACAAGTTCAGACCAGACTTGGATAGTTATAAAAATACAAAGAAACGAGACCAGACCAGTTCAGACCAGATCATCAAATTACAATCCAAGTAAAATCATCCTTACACTTTTAATTAAAACGGGTGTCAAAATCTTTTTAATCTTGAAACTCATCAATCTCAATCTGTACCATGCTTGTCACGGCGGTAAGTCGAGTCGCGGTGCCAGCCGACCGCCTTATCGCCTAGGCGATAAGGCGCCTGCCTAGGCGACAATGAGGCAACTAGTCGCACATTCTATATTATATTTTATTATATATATAATTATATATATATAATATAATACATTACTAATTAAATTGTATTTCTTTATATATTACTAATATATTACAAAAAGTAAAGTACGTATTTAATTATTTATATTTTTCATATATTTGTATACTTAACAAACAGTTAAACTACGTAAACTCAGTAAAGTATAAAATATATTTGGGCATAATTACGCATACCATGTTTACAAAATACTCTGTATATATGTATTTATATAAATATACAACTTAATTAATTAAAATATTACTCCACTAGACCAGAAAAAAAATAGAGCGTACTGGTCATCTCCTCAACGCAAATATGCTTACACGAGGGACTGAGGGAGGGCGAGACGCGCAAGCTCTCCTGCTTCCTGGAGTTGCTGCGGTGCGTATGATTCCTCCGACTTGTCTGGCTAGTCTCTACGACTTGAGTTCGAAGATGGAAACAAATAGCCCGTAAGATTATCAGATACCTTTGGGCTTTGTTTTCAACTAAAAGCCTAAATCTATTTTTTTTCTGGGCCTGCACGGTTTTTGACTGGCAAAAAAGGCGACGACTTGTCGCAAAATCGCACCTAGGCGACGCCTGGAGGATACCTATTGCTACTATTCTTCTTCTGGCGAGGCGAGTGAAGACGGCGATAACTCCCTAGCGCCAGGACGCCTAGGCGACGTCATAACAAGTATGATCTGTACATTCATTTACAATAGGTCCAACAACACCCCCTATACTCCTACTATCTATGTTTCTCTACACTACCAACAACCTAGTTTGTCTTCCAGACTTCCACTGCCTAGCAAACTTTGACAACTGCACAACTCTTATTGCCAACTACGTCATACATATCCAGTCTTCCACTGTCAGCCATTTACCTAGATGTGAGGCATTAGAAACTTCTACTAACCTTGTTTTTAAAAGGCACATGCAAGATTGGAAATTGTGTATTGAAAAATTGAGGCAATTTTTTCCAATTGCATATTGTGTACACCTCATTGCAAACACACACATATACAAACACAAACAATAAAAACTATTCATTAAGTCAACAAATGGCATAATAAAACAAATAAAGACGAGGACATAATCCTAGCGAAGTAATAGAAATATTTCTGAACATGTGAGCAATTCATCAAAACCAAATTCCTAACATATTAAAATATTAAGTATAATAGACTGATGGATGAAAAATCGAATCATCACACTTGGGTGGTTTGAAATAGGGATCCAGTGCAGGAAAGAGTACCATAGGACATCATGCAGGTTGGAAAAAGTTGCAAAGGAGAAGAGGATGATTTAAGTCTGTAAATCATGACCTCATAGTTTATATGATGCGCAGATTGAGAAGGGAGGTGTGCAAGACAACATTAATGACAAAAAGAGGGATTTTTTTGTTAAGTGACCCCAAATAATACACTTGACACTGCTCCAAAATTGCATATACCTATATGTGTTTCAAAGCATACATCATAGTGCGTATGTCTGAAGTCTGCTTACTCATTGCATGAAATAAGCAACGCCTTCTATTGCCTCAGGACCAAATATAGTTGAGGCGCATTTCATGGCACAATTGCAAACAATGAGATTGTGAGGCTTATGCCTCCAAGGCACTGAAGCGTGAACAAAATGCCTCAGCTTTAATGAGGATTATGGTGTCCAAGGGGCAGATGAGAGGCATGACACTCAAAGGTGCTGAAGCTTATCAAGGCTTAACATTTCACAGAAAATATGAAGTTTTACCCTCATCACTTTCTTTATTATTTACTTTTGTCCATTCTAAACAAACATAAAAGAATCTAGTCTTCTTTCTTCGTCCCTCTAGGACACAATAGTGAGAACCTGCCTCTTTATTCTATCATCTAAAATAACCAAGCAGTCTACATCCACTTGTTTCTAATCTTTATCTTCTGTAATTGATCCTCTTTTTTCTGATTTCCTCCTTTAACTGTTTCTGTGTTTTTTGCCTCCTATTCTACTACAGCCCATATCTCACTCTTTGTCGATAATCACTTGTCCTTTCAGAGCTCATGATATGGAAGGTGATAGAATTGAAGATAATTTTACATAGTTACATAGTAAGGTAATGGATGAGTCGATTAGTTTTGAATATTAGTAGTCAAATTTTGATTTTTAAGGCTATTGCATGTTGTGCGTTTTTGTTTTGGCTTGGCATGGATATTTATCCTCTCCTAACTTACTGTTTTGTCCTTTTAAGAGCATACTTGTGTGATTTATTTCAGCACATCAAGTTCATTCGCTACTGAACTTTCACTGTGGTTTATCTGCGTTTTGCTATTTATTAGTACTATGTATTAGCTTTATAGTGAGGTAGAGATGGACCACCTTGAGGCCAAATTTCACCTCTCAAAACCTTGACGATACACAGTCCTAGCATCTGCGGCTCCACGATCAAACTATTATAAGGTAGATCAATATTAATATTCTGTTTATTAAACACTTTAAGGTGTACAGATGGGGTTTGGTGGAAGATTGGGCTTGTGATAATTATAATCCATTTTAGCTTTTGCCTTTGGTGATAAACCAAAGTGTAAATGCATTTATAAATGCAACTAAATTTCTCTGCTACTCTCAATACAGTATCACTATTTGCATGAGCCTTATCCAATAATATATACTACGCATAATATACTCTAAATACCAGCTTTAAGCTGACTAAACATGCCCGAAACTCGGAATGTGCATCTTCCCATTGTGACATGAATTTTTTTAAGTCCCGAGAACTGCAATAAAAACATGAACTGTGTTAGACCTGGAATAAGGAGCAGTAATTGTCCCATGAATCGATGCGCTGCTTCAGAGTCGGGGAAAGTCGAGCATAGAGGTGGCGAAACCACATTTCTCGATAAAGCAAGCAGAAGACGTGGTCGTTATCGACGAAAGGCGCGATGGCATCGACAGAGGGCCATGGAGTGTCCTTGAACATGCGCTCACTGAGGCTCTGGAAAGAGGTCTCGCACATCTGGTGGATCTCGTAGACATTCTTATCCCTAATATGCCTGTATAGATGCCCCACGAACGACTTCACCGGGTCAGGGACGAAGCTTGGGTCGTACGCGTCGAGTGCAGAATCTGGATGCTGCTGTTTGGCCGAGTACGCGCCATCTTCGTAGGCGTATGAAGTTGCCATTGTCGACGCCTTGGATTTCCTTCGCCAATCTCTCACTGAGACTAGGGTTTATCAATAAAAGACGTCGAGGTCAGTGCCTATATGGTACATCCCGTGTACGTACCCGGCCCAACTAAGGGACACCCGACCCAACTAACCAGACATCCCAGTAACCGATTCAAGCCAAAAAAAATGCGGAGCCATTTTTTTAATTTAAGCGAAAACGGACGGCTTCTGCGAATGTCAGTTAGATGAGCAATAACGTACTTTTAATGAGCATCTGACCTATTTTATTGAGCATCTGCGAATGTCATGTATTATAATAATTTTAAAATATGCATTATTGATATGTCATTTTAAAATAAGCATACCATTACTATCAAATGAGCATACATAACTTACGAAATGAGTATCAAAAATTTTAAAAACGCATTTTTGTGTGCTCATTCATTTTGGACGTTATACTCATTTGAATTTAACATAAAACTCATTTTTAATATGAATCAAATGTAGTATAATATGTTTGAGAGATGCATGAATATGTCATTTTAAAATGAGTATTACACCAATTTTAAATGAGCATACATAAATTACGAAATGAGAAGTTGTAAAATATTAACACACAATGTTAAAATATAATATTAAATTAGAAGTTGTAATTTGTCTTTTGGGATTCCATAACTAAAATACGGAGCTCAATTCAAGACTTTGAGCAGCGTAGACAACTCCCAACACTCCAATGGGAGTTCTTTTGGTGTTCTTTCTATTATTCCTTCAGTGGAACTCCAGTAGAGCAGCGGGCGAACAACATCCATCGGAACTCCAAGACTTGAGCAAGCGAGCAGCATCGATCGATGCCTCCAACTCCCAGGACATCAACGAGCAGGACAACAGGGAAGACCTTTACCATTGGAGTTGTAATTAATTACAAAAATACTCGGATGTACGATGAGGATCGTACATCCGGGTGTACAGTATAATTTGCGTGTCGAGGTCTGAATCAGAGTGATTCCATTTTCTCCGCTTCATTCGAAAAGATGGGCCGGATCTGAGATGATAAGTCCGGCTAATTATCCAAATCAAATACGAAAAATATAAAAGTAAATAGGAAAAATAATAAAATACTCAAAACCGTTGTGAGATGAGCACTCCAAATTTACATATATAATTTAAATACCCACTTTTTTTTTAAAGTTATTTTAGCACCATAGTTAAGTATTATTTCTTTCAAAATGTAGATTTATCATGTTAATTGCATAATTTGAAATATTTTAGAATTCGTGAAGACACGATTGCCATTCTAAATTTCCTTTTCGAAATAAATAAGTTACCCCAATTTATATAATTGTAACATGATGGAATATATGGACTCCGACCCCCCGGTCTACCGACTACTGGGCCTGGACAACGGCCCACTCACGTTTAGCAGATATCATTCATAATATTGTACATTATTATTGTTATTCAGATGTTCTGGATTAGCTTTTTATACTATCAGTCCATTTATGTAACCGGGTCTGTCAGGCCCATATTAGAGGCCCAGACCCGGATTTTCCCTATATATACTCCTTTAGGAGGCTACACACAAACTCATATTCATACACAATACTACTTCTCCTTCTTTCATGTTCAAACTCTCACTAGTTATAGGATATGGGTATCAATTATCCAACAATGGTGCTCTCGTTGAGAGCGACTCTCAACGAAAGCACCAAATGATGGATAGTGTACCGGGGGGTAGCTTATCCGAAGGGTTATTGCGAGGAATAATAAGAGAGAAGTCAGAGCAAGTAAGTATAGAGAGAGAAAGTATATTGTAAAGTGTGGAGCGTTTTCAGCGTGGTTACAAATGGGGAAATGGGGCGCTATTTACAGTAGCAATAAATGCCGGACAGGGACACGTGTCAAGCGTCCATTGGCCGAGAGGTCACCTCAGCTGGTTGACGCTGGCAATCGCATGTGGCCGCATTTAATACGGTTGTTGGATGGGACGCGGTACTTGGTACGGTAACCCAGATGCGCGTGGAGGGAAGATCCTTTCAAGTGAAGTGCCTTCGGGCACACTAGTGTCGAAGGCTCTCTGTTGTCGAGGGCACACTAGTGCCGAGGGCTGCTGTTTTTGTCGTTTTCTCTCAGTTTCTTAGTTTGCTTGAAAAACCCGTTCTGTAAGATATTTGAGCCTTCGGCCAGTGGGCCGAAGGCTCCCCAGTGTGCGCTGTGGGCTGCTAAGTGCTTGGGGCGCCGTAATTTGGGCCTGATGTGCTTCCTGGGCCGGTTGGGCCTTTATTGGTGTAGTAGGAGTCTGTGGGCCAGGGTTCCCGGGCCATATACTCCATCATAACACTTTTAATTTTCTATTTTAAATTATACAATTAACTCCATAAATTTACATTTTTGAAAGAAATAATAATGATAATGGTGAAAAAATGTTTTTTTATATAATGTTTGAGGTATTTAAATTACATATGCAAGTTTAGAGTGTTTACTTCACACTCCTTCAAAGTTTGGGGTGTTATTATTATTTTTCCCGAGTAAATATTACTTTCGTCCCGATGGAATTTGCACTTTTTGAATTTCTTACTATCCTCCGTTTCATAAAAGTTGCAACAGTTGGACTTTCACGTTTGCCAACGCGCAACTTTGACTGTAATTATATTTATTTATGTATTAGTAAACATTAAAAAAAGTTAATATATTGGAAATTTACATTAATACAAATTTATTAATATTTTATACATAATATTTTTATTATATATATTATTAGAAAATCGTAGTCAAAATGAGGTGTGTGAATAGTGTAGAAATTCCAATGTTGCAACTTTTATGGAACGGAGGAAGTATTATTTTTATTGTACTTTCTTTTTTTCTCAGAGTATCTGTTCTTTTAAATGACAACATCCGTGACTGGGATAGTTTCAAACTTGTGACCTCCACCTTGGGAGTGTCACAATGATGTCATCGAACCATAAGGTGTTTGGCTCTTTGAATTAAGTGAGCAGAACCACAAAATAATTACGTTAATGAGAAAATGATAAAGTTTTTTTGAGATGGCTGCAAGGGGATTAGAGATCGGCAACCTCATTGGAATTCGCGATTTGGGCGGCGTTTCTCGGGCTTTCCGCGACAATGCGACCGGTCCAATTGCTTGGAGGGGACATCGACACACTTCTGAGAAAACCAATTGGATGGAAAGGGGTATGCAATCCTCGGCGATCGGCGATGGGGCTCTCGATCTCTTTGGCAAGGGGAGCGTACTCCATGGCGACGGGAGACAGGATGCAGAGGCGGCAGAGCAGACCTTGGCTCAGACGACCAGGCAGGGCGGCATCCATGGCAACACAGAGTACGGAGTAGACGGCCACTCCTCAGGGGCGGTGCTATTAGACAGATGGAACCTCGCAAGCGAAGGGACTTCTGACCTGGGTTGTGCTCACAGAGCTATTGCAAGTCTTCATACCTGCGAAATGACTCAATTGACAGGAATCAAAAGCATCCGGAGGTGGAAATTGCAGGCGGGAATCCATTTGAGTTTGGCCTTTTTATTGAAAGCGAAAAAAAATCTTTTTAATTGCTTTGACAAATCTGTTCGTATATCCGAGATCAAATCCGGTCTTCAATTGTGTTTGATCTCGATAATTTGATGTGGCTGAGGGATTCTATTCTTAAAATTTCCTTGGACTATTGGGTGAATTCTAGACCGGAGCTAGGCAATTTTATAATTCTCTTCAATTCAAATTCTTATGGTGGGTTTATTCGGATCATTGACAAAGGGATTGGCTCTATTTTTGTTCTCAATGAATAAATGGATCAGGTTTCAGAGATTTCTTAGCAGGATTATTTAGAGGCATTAATTTGTTGAAAAGTTTTTTAGAGCCAATGGAAATGGTACCGGATTTGTTGTCGGGTCTTGATAGAGTTGGTAACAATAATGATTTTTCAATCTCTGGGATACTTTTTCAGGCTGATATTCAGAATTTTTCTCCTTCGGCAATCACTCTGGATATGTCTTCATCGACTAATTTGATTTCTTCTTTTGATGCATCGAGGGAACTAATTACTTTGTCCAAGAAAAACGTGAAAGAGAATGAAAATATTTTTCCCAAGTGGAAGGTTGTGGGTAAGAGCTTTAAGCCGACTATTATTTCCTATCCTTCTCTCCAAGATCTTATCACTCAATTCAAGGCAGATCAAATGAGTTTAGATAAAAAGATAAAACCTCGAACTTCAGCTCAAAGTGTTGCTCATTCTTCATCTGCGGCTTCAGTGACTTCTCCGGCTTTAGTTGAACAAAATGATTTAACTGAGGTCACTGAAGATTGTTCTTTCGCTCCTGTTATTTCTCGGCGTAACAAGAAAAAACTGGCTATACAGACTTCCTCCATGCAAACTATGTCACAAATGCGCTTGAAAGCTTAATCATTAGCTTAGTTTGCTTTCCTTAAATTAGTTAGTTTATTATATTCTTTATTGCTTTAACTTTCTTCTTTCATTAGCGCATGTATTCAGTGGCGGAATCAGAACGAAAACAAAGGGGTAGCTAAAAGTATTACCAAATACAAAAATATAAATTGCTATTAAAGTTTACATAATATAAAATTTGTGAGAATGGTACATTACATTACAATTAAATGTTAGAAGAAGAAGAAGCCAATTTAGACAATTGCGTACGGCGTGTTTGCATACATTGAAAACGTTGCAAAATTGCTTCATTTTCAATCTTGGAAAAAATTTCCTTCTCCATGTAGATCACCAAACTATCATTCATCCATTCATCTCCCATTCTACTCCGTAAATCAGTCTTGATGATTTTCATGCCAGAAAAGACTCTTTCAACTGAAGCTGTTGCAACCGGTAAAACTAACGCCAACTCAATAAGACGATATACCAAAGAAAACACAAGGTTCATGCCACTTTCAACCATTTGTTTGGCAAGACTTCCCAAATCTTCAATTGCGTGAAATTGACTTTGACTCTTTACGGCATGAATGTATGTCTCAAGTTGTTGCTTAAGCATAAAACGATCGGTAGAAGAAAAGTCTTCCGCATACATTTCAGCCATATGAATCAGTTTATCAATGTCAAATTGATAGAAAGAATTTCTTGATAGAAAGAATTTCTTGGATCAAGACATGTCAAATTTGTGAGAATGGTACATTACATTACAATCAAATTCGACACGAGGATGTTTTTCTCTACTACTTTCTTCATTATCTCGTCTAGAAGGTCCACCCTCTCGTGTTACAAATTGTAAAATAGACATGATCGCATGAGTAACCTAACAAGTTAAAAAAGATTTCAATTTCAAATTCTTAAATACTTATAATCAATTAAAATTTAAAACAATTAAAGCACTTTCAATTTCAATTTTATACGGTCTAGGGTTTTACCAATTCAAGCTTATAATCAATTATTACTATAAAAAGCAATTGTATTGAGGAATCAATAAACTTGCAAATTAAAATCAAACCTTAAAGCTATTCATCACTCATCAGTCCAATTTCAAATTAAATAATTAGTTAAACTCTTAAAGCAAACAACCAATAAAATTAATTAAAACAGTTATCAATTTTAAAATTACTTACCAAATCAATTGCAAATAACCTATCACAAGGCTGCCTGGCTGCCCCCTTCTTGCCTGAGTTGCGAGTTGCGACCGACGGAGTGACGGACAGAGCCCAGCTGCCCAGAGGAGTAGAGGACTGGACTGGCGCCTGGGCCTGGCGGACAGAGGACGGAACTACGGAAGAACTCTCGACCTGCGATTGGCGAAGAGATCTCGAAGCCTGGGACCGTCTGCCATCTGCTCAGCTGCGGAACTCGACCTGGCGGCTGGCCCTGCGAATCTGCGATTGGCGAAGACATGAAGGTCTGGATCGGGGCCAATCGGGCGAACGGCCCAACTCCAACTCCAAGAGGAACGACGTCGTTTCTGCCGTTACTGTGCACTTAACCAAACGACGTCGTTTTGCCTAAATGTTTTAATTAAAAAAAACACTCACACCTCACCTGGTGTGCAGCTCTGGCCGAAGGTCTGGATCTCAGCATAGCCGGGGCGCAGGTCTGGCCGAAGAAGAAGACGGGGCGCAGGGCGCTTGCTGGCGGTTGCCGGGATACCTAATACTACTACCTCTAAAACTCCGGCGAAGGGGTGGCGCCAGCACCGGCTCGCCCCCCTCTGGTTCCGCCCCTGCATGTATTGCTATCAATCTTTTTAATAAAATTTAGTTTCTTGCCAAAAAAGAGACAAAGTTTTTTTTGACAATCAAAAAAGGAAAGTTGGCAAAGTCTAATGGAATGGAGGAAAGTATATTTTTATATTTTGTGTTTGCTAATCAAGTTGTAGATGTTTGGGCTATATATAATAATCAACTTTGCTCTCTTTACTGTCCTTTGTACCCACTTTATACTCACCCCTAACCTTTATGAAAGATTTTTTGTGTATGTGAATCTTGTTCATAGACAAATAAAATAACAAATGATTATTTTGGAAGTTTTTTCCTTACTATTTTAATTACTCACAGTCTCACATTACTCGCAGCTTATGGCTATTTTTGGCACAACGAGCTAAAGTTGAAGGCTAATATCTGAAATAGGGGCTATAGTCTGAATCAAAGACAATTGTTGAGCTGAACTTTAAAGTGTTGAATCTGAATTGTTATCTGAATGAAATAGTCTCGTTTGGTAAAAAAGCTGGAAAAGTGCCGGATAATATGAAGGGCATGTGATTTATTAATAAAAACAAAATTATTTTTAATGATTCTTATATTTCAATAAATATTAAATTTTTATATTGTATGTTTATATACTACGTATAATATAAAATTAATCATTTATATCAACCTTACATTAATTCAAATGTGACCTCTTAAAATTTCAATACATACATATGTATGTATACATATATATATATACACACACACGCGTGTATGTATGTATATATATATATATATATATATATATATATATATATATATATATATATATATATAGAGAGAGAGAGAGAGAGAGAGAGAGAGAGAGAGAGAGTAGTGTTCCGGTCAGGCCTTTCTGACCGGAACCGCCGTCCGGCCAACACCTTTTGGGGCCCTTCTCGGTGGATTTTTTTGATGAAATTTTTATGGCATGTTCTTCATTAAGTCTAGTTTATCCACAAAAAAATCAGCTAAAAACTCAATCCGGAAAGTCGACAAATGATTTTTTGAAGTTAACTGCGCAAAAAATACATATAAAACGCAGTTAACTTCCAAAAATCATTTGACAACCTTCCGGATTGAGTTTTTAGCTGAATTTTTGTGTGGATAAACTAGACTTGATAAAAGAACATGTTATAAAAATTTCATCGGAAAAAGCCACCGGGAAGGGCCCCAAAAGCCGTCGTCCGGACGGCAGTTCTGGTCCAGAATTTCGGACCTGAACATTTCTCTCTCTCTCTCTCTATATATATATATATATATATATATATATATATATATATATATATATATATGCATGGGGTGGACCCGGTCGACGGCCCCGGACCGGACCGGAACCGGACCCGCCACTGTGCAGGACCGGACCGGGTCCGGTTTGGGGACTGGATCGGGTACCCGACCGGGTATGGGGCGGACTCGGTCCCGGGTAAGGGGTTTGGGGACCGGACCGGGCGGTCCTGGTCCCGGTCCCGGTTCCGATCCCAATGGATTTTTTTGGAAATTTTAATTAGGGGGGATAGGGTCAAACTAGCCGTTTGGGACGGCTAGTAACAGCTATAAGGCCGTTGGGGAGGGGTTTGGGGGTGGGGGTTACCAAATTGTTTTTCCTATATGTACCTACTCATTTTATACATTTTTTCACACTATTCTAATTCTACTCAAATTCTACTCTCAATTCTCAATTTCTCAATCACTAATTCTACTCTATTCACATTTACACTTTCATCTTTCATAACTCATATATTCATATATTTTTCTTATAATTATATTTATATACTTATTTAGTATTACACAGTAATACTATATAAATATTTATAATTTCTATTTCTATATTCCTACTCCCACTCTTTCAATCTTCTTATTAAATATATTATATTACAATTATATTTATATACTCCTACACTTTCTTATTTAACACATATATTTAATTATATACATTTGTAGTTAACTAGTTCCAACATTGTTGTAGTTAACTAGTTCCTACTTCCTACATTTTTGTTAATTACTTCCTACATTACTTCCTATTGTATAAATAAGTAATTGTTATACATTAATGTTTATATATATATATATATATATATATATATATAATTTAATATATATCTATATATAATAAACAATATATATAATTTAATATATATATATACATACGAAATATATTAAATATATAATATATATATATACTATAAACATTAATAGTCGAAATTTACTTAGTTGCATTTAGTAACATTTTAGTTGCATTAAATATAATATCATAATCATTGTTGTTACAGATCATTTAACAATTTTTTTGGTAGTAGTTGCATTTAGTAACATTTTAATAGTAGTAGTCATATTTTAAATTATAGTTGTTAAAGTTACAAATTGTAGTTAGTATATTTTCGGAGTTGTTAGTAGTTGCATTATAAATTTTTACATTGTTATTAATTTTTCATTTTTGTTGTCAATTAGTTGTTAATAAATTTGTAATTCAATTTATTGACATTGTAATTTGTATTTTTTGTAACATTTTTAAGATAATGGACCAGGCTAGGAAATCCGTTGATATAAGTAATCTCCAACGCAA